TGAACGACGCTGACCGCGAGAAAACTGCTTTCTCCACGCCTGACGGTCACTATCACTTTAACGTCATGCCGTTCGGGGTCTGCAACGGACCGAGTTCTTTCCAGCGCCTCATGGGTGCTGTACTCCGTGGGTTGCAATGGCAGATATGTCTCGTCTATCTTGATGACATTATCGTGTTTGCACGGACCTTTACTGAGCACCTCTGCCGGCTCCGCCAGGTGTTCTCCCGACTGCGTTCTGCTAACCTCCGCCTGAAGTCATCGAAGTGCTTCCTGTTCCGCCCCGAGGTTGAGTTCCTTGGCCATGTGGTGTCCGACAAGGGCGTACACACCGATCCCGCCAAGGTCGCCAAGATTGTGTCTTGGTCGGAGCCGCAGTCCAAGCCTGAGGTCCGCGCATTCTTGGGTTTCTGCGGGTACTACCGCCGCTTTGTACGTGACTTTGCTTCCGTGTCGAAGCCCTTGACCACTCTTACGCGTGATGATGTGTCATTCTCTTGGACACCCCAGTGTACTGACGCCTTCCGTCACTTGCAGACCGCCCTGTCTTCCGCTCCTGTTCTGTTGTATCCCCGCTTCCAGCCGGATGCACCCCGTTTCGTGTTAGATGTTGATGCCAGTGGTGTTGGTTTGGGAGCTGTGCTCTCCCAGGCCGATGAAGAGGGTCGTGAAAGGCCCATTGCTTTCGCCAGCCGTTTGCTCTCTTCCACTGAACGTCGCTATTCCGCCACTAAGCTTGAGCTGCTTGGTGTTGTCTGGGCCTTCGGCCACTTCCGCTGTTACCTCTTGGGCCGCCCGTTCTTGGTTCGCACTGACCATCGTGCTCTTCAGCACCTCTCTACGTTTAAAGACCCATCTGCCATCATTGCTCGGTGGTTGGAATTCCTCAGTGAGTTCACCTATGAAGTGAACTACCGCCAGGGTCGTGCTCATGCAAACGCTGATGCTCTGTCCCGTCAGAGTGCTCCTCGTCAGTGTGTTGCCTCTGTTGCAGAGCCCCCCGTGCCTCTGCCTACGCCGTTTGTTCAGCGTCGCCGCTGGGCACCCGCTGACTGGGCTGCCGCTCAGTCCGTCGATGAGGACTTGGTTCTCTTCCAGTCCTGGCTCAGGATACACCCGCCTCAGTGCCTGCCTTCCTTCAATGGAGTCAGTCCTGACCTGCATGCCTACTGGCGTGCCCGAGACCAGTTCTTCATTGAGCATGGTGTGTTGTGTCGCCGGTTTGAGGATGACAACCCATGTTCTGAGCCGCTTACGCAGATCCTTGTGCCTCGGCACCTCCGTCCTGAGATCCTCCAGGAGTACCACGACTACGCCGGTCATGCTGGTGTACACCGCACATGTGGTCAACTCCGCCGACGCTTTCACTGGTACGGGTTGAAACGGGACGCTGAAGATTGGGTTGCGAGTTGTGAGTCCTGCAGCAAGAGAAAGAAACCAGTGCACAGAGGACGCGGCGCCCCGCTCCAGGTCACCTGGGCAGGCTCCCCGTTCGAACGAATCGCGATGGACCTGATCCCAGGTCTCCCAGAAACGGCTGGTGGGAATCGACATATCCTTGTGGTTGTTGATTACTTTACCAAGTGGGTGGAGGCGTACCCTTTGAAACGCATGGACGCTAACACCATTGCTTCGGTTTTCGTAAGTGAGTTCGTGGCTCGCTTTGGTGCGCCACAATCTTTGCATACGGATCAAGGCCGAAACTTTGATTCCGCGGTCTTCAAAGAGGTGTGTGCCCTCTTGGGGATCAAGAAAACGCGCACCACGGCTTACCATCCTGCCGGTGATGGTCTGGTCGAACGCTTCAACCAAACGCTGGAGGCCTTGCTCTCCCACTACGTGGCCAGTCACCAACGTGATTGGGACACGCAGCTGCCAGCCATGCTCATGGCCGACCGTGCCACCCCGCAGTCGAGTACGGGTTATACACCTGCTTACCTGCTCTTTGGGCGCGAGTTGTGTTTACCACAAGATGTGGCCTATGGCTTGCCTTCCGCTGACGCAGCTCGTGACGAGCCGTCCTATGTACAGACTCTCCGCCAGAAACTTGCGCATGCGCATTCCTGTGTGCGTAAGAAGCTCGCCTCAGTTCATAAGCACCAAGCCCGTCTTCACGACGCTGGCGCCGTCCCGGTGCGCTTCGCTCCTGGTGACCTTGTTTGGTTGCTGGTCCCCGCCGTCCCGGTCGGTACAGCACCGAAACTGTCCAAACTGTGGCGTGGACCCTTTACGGTACGAGACCGCCTATCGGATGTTGTCTACCGCATCCACACTACGTCTGGTTCTCGTGAGTGCTTCCAGGTGGTCCACGTGAACCGCCTGAAACGCTGCCACGTTCGTCCAGAGCGCTTGGCGACCATCGCTGAGATGGCCGAAGACAACACGTCTACTGAGGCGGCGGGCGATCTGCCGTCTCACTCCGCCGCTCCAGCCTGCCGTGAGTGGGGCACTTCTGCCACACGCCGCACAATGGTTGCTGGCTCCCGTGCTCGCCCACCGACCTCACCATCGTATGCGACAGATGCGACCGATCGTCTATATCATGATGACGTCGATGATAGCATTGAGTCATTCCCAGAGCCTCGGCTCATGCCAGCCATTCCACAGCCGCTGCCGCTTGCTGCCAATGTACCAGCAAGACCGTATCGCATCCGTCGCCCACCGGGTCACCTCGCAAATTTCGTCTGGGGTGCACGCTTTTGAGCTTCACCCAACAGCTAGTAGCTCTGTCAGTATCTGTTAACTAAGCCTCTGTCTCGTCATCAGTTTCCTGCACCAGTCTCCCATCTCCTACTGCTACCTGACTTCGAGTCATTGGCTCTGCTGTTCTACCACTACATCTCATCGTTTCATCATACCATGCTGATACCATCACTCACCTATAGTACGATGACATGAACACCAGGACTCCATTCCGTGGCCTGCTGAGCGTCACCAAGTACCTGTCTTACCCAGCCATTGCCACCAGTTACTGGAGTATCAATATTTCTGCTATGTCTTCGTTGTCCGTCCACCCTGCCACTATAGCCGATTCCGTTTAGTGCTGCACTTACACTAGTACTGCTATGATGTCGTCTGTTCTCTACTACCCTGAGTGCACTGTTCCAGTCTACCATCTTGTACTGCCGCCATCTTCTATAGTGTCTACCGTCGAAGCACTGTCTTCCATGTGCCTAGTAGTGTCTGCTCAACTTGATTCAAGTGCTGCCGTCCACCATCGTCATGAGTACCGCCCGCACTGATCTCTGTCTGCTACCTGATGTCACCGAGTAAGACTATCTATGTACGAACAATTGTGCCCTGTATCGTTAGTTCTCTAAGTATAACTTTGCTCCTAGCCCACCTCTCAAGTACCTACTGAAAACTGTTACTCCGGTTCCTGTGCCTCGGGCACTGAACAATTACATAGTTGTAGTTCCTCCTTATCTACCGGATGCTTAGCTTCTGATTGCTTCATGGCACTACTAAAAACTAAATAAAAATGTGCCAGTGGTTAGCCCCCTTGACCATTCTTTTCTGTTTAGGCATAGCTCATCAGCACTCTTCCTGTCTTGCTGTTTTGATTCTGCTTCGTGCCTGTTTGCCTTGCAAAATCCCCCCCCCCCCCCCCACAACATTAGAACCTGTTCGGAATGCCCCAGGTTGATGCGAACATAGCCTACGAACTGTATTCCCCACTGTTAGTTGCAGCTTTAGCTTCCCCAGTTTAGTTTTGGTTCGCAGTCTGACGCTTTGTTCCCTTCTGCTCACACCCTCTTTGGAACTACTGCGATGTTTAGTTTTCTCTTATTTTAGCCCTTTTAAGTTGCTCTCTTGTGTTATTTCTTCCCGTCACGAGGACGTGACCCTTTTCTTTGTAGCCGAGGGAGATGTCATGGCCCTGTATAGATAGTACTACTCACCAATACCACTATAGTACTGCACACATTCATTATCAGCCTGGCGCCTACCTCTACCGCAGCCCCTCATCAATGCCCATTAGAGTATTGTTCTCTTCCTTTTGATTACGATAAGCTAACCTCTCTGTCGCCGGACCTAGACTATCCATTACCATAGAACTGTCGTCTATTGCCTCTGTTGCCGGTCCGCTGGTCTGCTGTTCCGCTTTGCTACTCCAATTCCTCATTAGCAATAGTTAGTTTAGCGCAGCTCACAGCTCGTTCGCTGCTATCACTACCCTACCTTCCAATTCCCCGATCTCTATTCTTTCCTTTGCTCTCTTTTACTATATTAGAACCTGCTTTCCTTTTTAGTCCTTCAGAGAGAGTTTGACCCAACTGAGTGAGCGCAACATCCTTCCTCACTATTGAACCTGAACTGAATCCACAACTAACTGCTTGTGCTTTGTGTTGTCCGTTACGCTTGGGTTTGGGGCTAAGAAGTGCACATATATTTTGTGCCAACGGACTTCGGATTACGGAGTTACGTAGAGACGACATTCAGCCTTAGGCCACTACATTTACAACATGTTCTTTGCTGGTATTTACAACATGTTCTTTGCTGGTATTTACAACATGTTCTTTGCTGGTATTTACAACATGTTCTTTGCTGGTATTTACAACATGTTCTTTGCTGGTATTTACAACATGTTCTTTGCTGGTATTTACAACATGTTCTTTGCTGGTATTTACAACATGTTCTTTGCTGGTATTTACAACATGTTCTTTGCTGGTATTTACAACATGTTCTTTGCTGGTATTTACAACATGTTCTTTGCTGGTATTTACAACATGTTCTTTGCTGGTATTTACAACATGTTCTTTGCTGGTATTTACAACATGTTCTTTGCTGGTATTTACAACATGTTCTTTGCTGGTATTTACAACATGTTCTTTGCTGGTATTTACAACATGTTCTTTGCTGGTATTTACAACATGTTCTTTGCTGGTATTTACAACATGTTCTTTGCTGGTATTTACAACATGTTCTTTGCTGGTATTTACAACATGTACTTTGCTGGTATTTACAACATGTACTTTGCTTTTCATGGCAGCCACATACCTGGACATCTAGTGTCAGAATTCCAGTTGTTCGTTCCACTGGCTCCATGATAGCGAGGCAATGGTTCACCTTGTTGGATTTGAGTGGCATCATCCACAGGGACACAGGGAACGAGCTGCCAGACTTCGTAGCAGCAATGAGCTAGAGATGCAAAGCAACAACAACAAAAAAACCTAGTGCAGTCCTGGGTATTTCACAGAGTGTAAGTGGGCAACCTGACTGAATAACTAGATACCCTGAGATATTGATAATGCATGGAGATTCAGCATTGTAAATGTTACTACAACTGTCAGTAGGCATAACATTGCCACACGAGCAGGTCTTCACGACATACATTAATCAAACCAAGCTCTAGTCAAATACCATAAAAGTCCGTAAAGAAGAACCTGGATGAAGAGCCAAGGATTAATGTATTGCAATGAAAAGGACCAAGGAACTACAAGCAACGCTATAATGTCCACTAACATAACATAACGCTATAATGTCCATGAACGTCAGTACCGTCGGTCAGTGTCATGCAATGCTATCGCATGAGCTGATTTACAAGTAACGCTATAATGTCCACTAACACCGTAGTTCCTTGGTCCTTTTCTTTGCAATAAATAAGAACCTGCCCTGAATGAATACCCCCCCCCCCCCCCCCCCCCTTCATCCTGTTGACCGTTGAAGTCAAAAGTTCAGCCCGATAAACATACTGCCCGAAATAAGAACCGGTATGGTTTGCATACGCAGCGTGTAGATGTACATCGACATGAAAAATGACTTCTCCACTACACACGAGTCAGATCCGAAAGCTGTGCGTGCCTGAAAATCAGTCCCTGCCTGAAAGTTAGTATGGGCGTGACCTCTAAATTCGAAAGTAAGTACAAACTTATTTACGGACTTTTACGGTAGTGGTAGCGACTTCGGCGATACTTTTATAGGAACATGTCTGCTCACCACACCGGAGCTCGTGCTTTTCCGCCAACTTGACTTGACTGACTCACGAATGCCATCCAGAGCACACAAACACTCCCTCGAACCTTCGACTTGGCAAAACCTGCAAGAAAGCAACTCCCTGCTCAATACACAGTGTTTCGGGGAATCCACCCCTCATTATTATTATTATTATTATTATTTGAAACTCGGGTATTGAGACAATAATAAAAGTAGAAAGGAAAAGGACATATGGAAACGAGTTAAGAGTAACTCTCCACCACTGTAACTAAGTTCTCGCAAAGCTTCCCCCTTCTTAACTTATCTTTGATATTTTTGACCCACCCAAGTTGGGTGGTGTGCTGCTTTGCTGCTTCGAATTGTAGTTAGACCGCTTTGTCAAATCGCCGGTCTCGTCATCGTCCAGTGACAATCGACATTCTTTGTTCCGTTGGGACTGTAGCTTGTGCTCGTTTTCGTTGCGCTTGCCTTCCCCTCTTTGGTCTTTCCATAACCTTGAACCTTCCAAGTTGGAAGGCTGTCGGTTAGCGCTACGGAGATGTGTTGAAGCTAGGTGTCAGGACGTCGAATGTCTCAGTACTCTGTCAGTTTTGTGCCTAGTTGTTGCACTTTCTGACTGTATATAGTATCTTGTTACAGTGGTGGAGAGTTACTCTTAACTCGTTTCCATATGTCCTTTTCCTTTCTACTATTATTATTCATGAAGTTGATTGTTCCAACTAGGAACACACGCTTCTTGCCGAACTTGACACTTGACTGACTCACGACTGCCATCCGGAGCACACGAGTTCGTACTATTATTATTATTATTATTTACGAAGTAGTGGTTGCGACTTCGGCGATGATTTGTAAGAAAGGAGCAAACCTTTCTTCTTATTATTATTTATTAATTTTTTAATAGGGCATTCCCACAGGCCTAAGGCCTTCTTACGGGGTACCCTATATGTTTTTGTATGGATGAGCGGAAGTCTGATAGCGTGGGGCAAATACGAACAGAAGCAGGGAGCGAATTCCAGCGATCTGCACCTAAGAAGCTTAATGCGTACAAGCCATAGCTCATCAGTCATCAGTTGAGCTTGAGTAGGCTGAGGCAGATCGTGCCCGATGAGCACCACTAATCTTATGTAGTGCTCTCCAGGTCCAAACATCTAACATCACCAGGGAGAAAAACTTATAGACACTTTGTTTCCAGCACGACAAACACCTCATGAACACCAGATAGCAGTGTCAGTCAGTGTCGCTCCTGGACGATGAGAACGGCTGTTCTCATCACCAAGAAGCATCTCTGCAAGTGTGTATCCCTGGTGATGTTTAGGCCTGGAGAACACTACATAATCTTCCTCAGCCTACTCAAGCTCAGCTAATGAGGGGTGAATTCCCCGAAACACTGTGTATTGAGCAGGGAGTGGTGCTTTCTTGCAGGTTTGCCAAGTCGAAGGTTTGAGGGAGTCTTTGTGTGCTCTGGATGGCACTCGTGAGTCAGTCAAGTGTCAAGTCAAGTCAGCGGAAAGCGCGAGGTCCGGTAGGGGGAGCAGACACTTTCCTATAAGCTCTATTCAATCCGTAAGTTTATGTACAACCAACGAACAAAGGCATGCATATGTCTCAACATAACCTCTAGTTCGGGAGCCACCACTAGAAAAGAGAGCTCAATATCTCGCGACAAAGAGCAATACAGTGAGACCTGTCTAAGGCGACCACTCAAGGGACGAGAAAAAGTGGTCACCTTGGCCAGGTGGTCTTCTTATCCAGGTTCAGTGGGTCACGTGAACATATTCACTATAAATGTGCATGTGATATATCATTTTGATCAGTGCATCACACTTCACACACCTATGCTACTATCACGACTCATGTTCCTGGGGCCCAGTGGGGGCCTCAGTCTCAGACCTGTCAAGTGTCATGCATGCACCATGTACATCTGCACTTCCTGCGCTGATGTGTAGATCTACCATGGCTACACCATGTGCACTATGTGCACCATGTGTGGTGCACAGTGCAATGCGTGCATGTAACGTTACATGTGCTAGTAGAAGGGTGCAACGCGGTCGCGGGTGGGTGGTCGTTGGTCGCGTTGAGCGAGTGGTCGCCTTATCCGAGCTGTTATGAATGTGATGCGTTCGTGACAAGGAAAAGTGGTCGCCATGGTCGAGTGGTCGCCATATCCAAGTGGTCGCCATTACAGGTTTTACTGTATTACCTCACAAGGAACAACGGTCACCAAGAAAACTCCTTTGGGTTTGCTACTCCGAGTTTCATGCACTGGTGGGTGAAATCATCTGGCAAAAACAAGCTTGATCTCTATCATTTTCATGCTTCCATTCATATCATGTCCCTGTAGATCCGCATGTCATGCTTTTATACACGACTGTACACCGCTATACAGAATTATTAAAACTAGGTGGTGGTGATATGACCACCACTTACCAGTTGCTCTGAAACAGTCAGTTGTGCCCCATCAGGTCCACAGTACTCTTCACGTAGGCTCATCTTGGCCAGGTAGTTGTCGGAGTGGAGCAGGCGTTCGAATGGCATTCCCTCAAATTCAGACTGAGTGTAGCCGAACACATTACTGGCAATGCTGTTTGCCACGACCACTACAGAGGTGCGCATATCCACAGTGAGTAATACTTTGTTAGGATTCTTCATTGTTGTTCTCTCATCATCACCACACTGTTCAAAGTAGCGACTCAGCTCATAAACTTCAGCAGTGCACACTGGTGAGACAGACGGCGAAGCCAAAGTTGACGGGGGCCCCAGTCCGCTCTTGACCAGAGAGCCCTGTGATGCCAAAGAACGTAACGAGTCAACTGATGCTTTGGATGATGCTGATAGGGTACGCGCTCGTACCTTATCAGTTTTCATGGTACCATCCGGGGAAATAAGACGGAAGTTGTGCAGAGTATCATCAACATCCAGTATATCTTTATCATTCGGGAAAAGTGAACTTGGCTTTGCCTGAACAGGACTAGTGCTTGTTGGGGGCTCGTCATACTCCAGGAGCGCATCACGGTGATCAGACCCAAGCAAAGCAACGTTGTGCAGTATCTTGTTCTGCTTGCGACATTGGTCAACGTGAACAGCATATGCCGGAGAGGCCTTTCGCTGATGACCTAAGTTAGAGCCACGAGCGGCACTTCTCTTCTTCTTCTGTGCCACCAAGGCAGCGATGAGACCCGACTCCCCGTCAACTGTGTCCTGGGCCTGGTCAAGTGTAAACACACACACACACACACACACACACACACACACACACACACACACACACACACACACACCATACACACACACACACACACACACACACACACACACACACACACACACACACACACACACACAAAGGCCAATAAATACTGTTTATAAAATACTCCTTTTTAGGGAAGGGTGCAGTGTTGCATGAAAAAATGCAGTGGTATTTAATGAGTCAAAGCAAATTTACTCGAATTTGATACTGTTGATGGTGTGGTCACAAATGAGTGTGGGTATTAAATTATCAAAGGTCAATACAGTCGTCCCTCTCTAATCCGGCACCTTTTGCTACGGCATTTTCTGCTGGATTAACGAGGGTGCTGGATTAAGAAATCCTGCCCTCTGACCCGGCCCTACCCAATTGCATGCATGTATCATATGTATGTCAAAACGCAGGGTTTTTCCGTGTCGACCCAAGTATTTGGTGCACGGCTTTATATTCTCAATTGTTCTGCGGGAATATACACAGTGATAAAGTGAAACAGAGAACATGTTCACATGTACTCTTGCACACACACGCACACACACACCTGAAAATTGGCAGGACACTACTCCTTGCTAAATAAAAATAAGAAAGTATAGTTGACTGCCGTTGTCTCCTGGACAAGCCTAGCCTGGCCTGGCAAGGAGTGCACCTGTACGGTACGCGATTTACGACTGCCGGATTATGAAATCAAACTACGTGCAGTTTGAGCGATTCGTTTCAAAAAGTCACTGCCGGAGGCGGAATTCAAGTGCCGGATTAAGATGTAGGAATTGAACGAAAAAAATCGGTTTCGTCAGAAAGTGCACCGGTTGGCAAGGGTTCCGGATAAACAAGTGCCGGATTAGAGAGGGACGACTGTATATTCATTGCTATTTTACAACTATTGTCTCCTCGTCGATTATGTTATGGTAAGTTTTCAATTCTACATGGGAAGTAACCAAATTATGGTCGTTTAGCAATACAAATAATATCGCATTCCATTTTGCATACACTCTTTGGTTTGTGACAAATGGTTCGCATTTTTCGCTCCGAAAAGCAATCGAACCATGATTTGTGTCAGGACAATCATACATTTACTTTGTTGTACTGTCTGTACACATGTACAGCAGGCGATGTCTACTGCACATGTACCACATAATGTCAAGGTGACACAACCGTGAATTCTGTTTGCAAATACTCTCTGAGATGCGGATTTGTCACTGGGTTGGACTTTCATCGGAGTGCAAACTCGAACACGAAATTCGCCTAGCTAAAGGTTGGTGCACATACTGTAAGCCAAATCGGCACCAGGAGGTACTGGCGGTGGGCCAGCTCCCAGTCACTCTGAATGCCAGCAGAGATTATGGAGATATGGTTTTAGCATCATACCTTGATCCTTGAGGGTGGTGGCATTCCTGTGGATGCGGAAATTCAGTCAGACTGAGCATCAAGCGAGCCATGAACTATACTCTTATAGTTCCAAACTACATGCACTACCGCCAGGCGCAAACTTGTTTCACATTTTCAAAAGTAATCTTATTGAGCAGCACTGTAGTAAAGTTGAACTCGGATGGTGAGCCAATTGAATATGGTGAAAAAAGGAGAAGGACAAAATGTTATGAGTTATGACTAACTATCCACCAACGTAATCAGATCTTGGACCTTTCTGAACCTGAGCCTTCCAAGTTGGAAGGTTGTTGGTTTGCGCCTTGGAGAAGTGTTGGAGCTAGGTGTCAGGTTGCCGAATGTCTGAGGACTCATCAGTTTTGTGCCATTTTGTCGCACTCGCTGACTGTATAAGATCTGGTTATGTTGGTGGACAGTTAGTCATAACTCGTAACATGTTGTCCTTCTCCTTTTTTCAGCACTGTAGTACAAAATCTTTCCAAATGCCATGACAGGATTGCCCATTTGGAGAGTGACTTCCATGTTTCTTCAGCAGTTCTTGACACAGCAAGGGTCTTTCAGTGATGGACACTTGGTGTACCTTTTGCTGCAAATCACCATAAGTATCACTTCGACACATTCTACTGCCATTGTATGATTCTATACAGCCGGCCCCGTTTACACATTCATGTATTGATCTGTCGTCTCACATTCTGAAATGCATTGTCTGTGTGCACACGTTCGTGCGTCTGTAGTTCTCACTTTTCACATCCGCTGTGCTCACCATATTAGCAGGGTGCACTCGCGTAACCGCGTACCCGCGCACTTTGCATTCTGTTTTTGTAGTTGTGGCGAGCAGTTAGACTTGCGCTCGCTTTTCCTTTCTTTACCAGTACTAGTCTTGTATTCTTTGTTCACGGAAGAAGAATTCCCGTTTACATCTTAGCCTTGTTTGTAGTCACTGAGTGAGTTATCAAAGGCGCGCTTGTGAGAAACAAGCCAGCCATGCAATCAGCGACGATCTCGAAATCATGCATGGAAATTTGATGAAGTCACAAGAACTTACAAATAATTATGTCCTTCAGTATTTGGCATTCATTTCACTTGTGTTTGTTTCATATAAATTTGCAAAATGCTAGTAGTCACGCAAAGCTTCCGAGCAAGACGAGTTGGTATGCCGCCCAAATTTGCCACCTTGAAATGACTACTAGAATAATGAACGGATCTGATCTTTAGCCTCAAGTTAGGAAGTTTGGGACGGGTCTTGGTTTGAAATGTTGACAACGTCTGGGCCCCGCACTGGCGATCACCGGTGCGCACAGTTCACATGCCACTTTTGCTCAAAAAGTGTACGGGATCAGCACCAGAGCAGGCCAAAAGAAGTTGAACACTGCTCAACCTTCCTAGTCCTGAACACTGGTGATTTACCATGAGATTTTGGTACGCATTGCACTGATTCACATCGCAGTGTTCCATCAGGATTAGGGCCCGGTGTAATATGCCCGAAACTTTGCCGAAAATGCTTTTGGGAAATTCTCCTAAACCTTGCCGAAAATGCTCGGAAAATGCTCACTTTTTTAATCCTCACACGCCGTCAAAAGACTCAAAACCAGGGAGTCAGAAAATACCGGTATTTTACGACTCCCTGGTCAAAACCATTATTTTCAATTCATTAACTACTCAACAAGAAGCTAACCCACGGAATGCGGAAGTGACGTTCTTGTTTGGGAAGTTTTTCTTCTCTCAATTTTGATACACAACGGCCAAGTGCTCCGTTTCCCCCAAAATGCTGCATCACGAGCCCAAAGTGCTGGGTTCGCGGATTGTACCAAAAATGCTCAAAAAAATGCCGGCATATTACACGGGGGCCTAATCAGGATCGGTTGCAACAGGGACTACCGTATTTTCCGGTGTGCTAGCCGCACTTTAAAACACATAGAAAAACTCAAAAATCACCCCTGCGGCTTAGGCTCCAACCGCACTAGGTAAAAAAGGTACGCATGTAAAAGGTGAAAATATGTGTACAGTACAGTCGGCAACCGCACTGCAAGTTGTATACCGTAATGTCGCGTATAAAAGCAGGTGCTTACGGCTGTATAAGCCGGGGTTCAAACCATGCTTCTATTCAAGTTATGCTTCTACGTTAACATCATCAGTCTGCACTGTGCAATGCATACTGCCACGCATGTACGTGCACATGTATTTCGCAGGGAGCAGCTTCTATTCAAATCATGCTTCTGTCACAGTGTGTCACAGGGCGCTTCAAAAAATCGGCTTCTATTCAAGTCATGCTTCTATACAGGTCATGCTTTTATACGCGACACTACAATATGCTTTTTTCCAGCCCAACCGCCAGAAAATGTCGTCTCAGGTTAATATTGAGGTGCATGAAATTCAAAAGATACGGTACATGTGGAAAAAGCTGCTTATACAGGGGTTCGCGACTTCCTGAAACATAATTATACGGATCGTTTTAGATTTCCCGTATGTGTCCTTGACGACTTATACCAAAAAGCGGCATTATAGTTAGTGCTGAAACGATTATATCGATTACTCGTTACTTACTCGATAAGAAATAGATCGAACGGTTATTTCGATTTTATCGGCTAAACGAGTAGAATGGTACTTACGCTCGGTACGGGATTTCCCCCCTTTTGGGGGTCGCACAAAGCGTGCATGCATCGAAAGTGTTGCGAGTACGACACGAATAATTATTATGTACATGACTGTACACTTGCTACATCGATGTACGTGTAAAGTAAAAGCGCGATCTGAGAAACATCGACGCGATCATCGTCGCCGTCTTTTGAGCTGACTACTTTTCTTACATACAGCATGCAGGACGGGCAGGCTCAGTATGTGTCTACACTAGCTGCACTGCAGGGGCTGGAGTTCCCTCCACGTGCGAGTAGTCGTAGTCTTGAGCTAAAGACAGTAAAGTGGTCTTCAGTTTCATGTTTTCCGTTCTGTCGACGGTTCCCGAACCAGTTTGCTCGACGACGAGCTAGGCCTGGCGTCTGGGCCTATTTTGAGCATAGACAGGAAAAGCAACTAGTTACTTGTTGGTGTGCCTCAAGTCAGCTCATCTGTCGAAATCCGCCGATCTGCACTCCTGGCCGGCTTCTCTGACTTCATCGTCGGAGTCAGCGAAGTCACAGGCGAAGGGCACCATCAGCTCTTGGGTTGCAACCAGTGAGTTGCCTCTGTCTTGTCTGTATTCGGCTGGTCAGTCCGAACAGCTGACGGACTTGTGGCGGGATCATCGGATCTATGCGCCCGCTTTTCGTCATTGGCGATGTTGGACTCGTAAATTTTTTTGAAATTCACAGAATGTACATGTACAGATGAAGTTACAATAATAATCGTTTAGCCGATAAGCCGATCGTTATGGTATCAGCTAAGCCGCTAAGGAAAAAACGTAATCGTTTCAGCACTAATTATAGTACATGCGTAGTACATGCGTATATTTTTACCTAGTGCGACTGCAGCCTTTAGACTCTGAATGCTGGATGTGAATCGACCAGCGCTGCAGCACCCCATGCACATAAACTATAGCAAAAGAATGACATGACCTGAAGCGCACACACCCACGTGAACCTAGAGCTCTCAGCATCACGGATAACACACACAGGTCTACGGGATGGATTATCTTCACGCCCTGGCTACTGTATGCTTTATATTGGCCAAGTACCACTGAATATGTCACAAGTCGCCTGCTGACTGCATTGTGCAAGAAACTCTGATTGAGTTGCGACGAACTCTGTAAACCTCCTTTGTCTGTAATCAGACCCTGTGATTTGAGGCGAGCGATCGCTCTCGCGCGCCATCGCGCGCCTTATTTTCTTGGAAGGTGCACTTTTTGTCGCGCGCCTGAAACTATTTTTGGCTGCATGTACGCTTTTCGGAGTGCAGCGCAACTACTACTGTACTATGACTAGTACGAGTGTATGGTGTCAAGTGCACTCATCGATCCGTGCGCAGGCCGGAACTGTGCCCGCTCGCGCTGTTATGAAACAGACTAGACAGTGAGTTAGTCATGTGTAGTGACATGCACAGTACTGAGTAGGCAAGTTCACTGCACGTACACTGTGAGTGTGACACAGGCACTGCACTGGCGCGCCCAGCTAGCCTGGCATGACCTCGGGGCATTTCACACGTCTGGATGAATGATTGCGGCTTGAACTAGTCAGAGCTGTGCCGCGTAGATCTACCACCACTCATGAAACACTCCAGTTCAACGGGTTTTACGGACCCCTGCATGCAGCGCAGGGGTCCGTACAACCCTAGTCTGAACTAGCGCCTGGCGGGTCCGAGTAGCAAGATAGACCGCAGTCTGACATAGACTAGTAGTTCTGGTAGTTCTGCTAGTGCATGCGTTGCAAGTAAATGCACCCAAATGGCTCTTTTGTCCTCTTACTCTTAGAATAAAAGGCCAATTGGTCAACTGGAGTTGATCATACCAGTTGTTTTCTTTCCTTGCGACATGATCCCTTGCTGGTGATCTCCTGCTGCTGCTAGCAGTAGAAATGTCGAAAGGGAACAGTGTGCAGTTGTCCACTTTCCTCAGCTGGAAAGTACATGAGGACATAGGCTTCAACTCGGTGAAGAAGGAAGGTAAAGAGCTGGTCGTGAAAGTGTGGTGCAAGTCGTGTGCGAAGTATTCTGACGTTATCCGGAGCGACTCTATGGCTGAGAGGTCAAGCGAAGGTCGATGCGTTGAGGTTTGTGGAGGGATCGGACTACGTGACGAAGCACGCTGTCCCTCGACATTTGTCTGGACAGGTAAGTGGTCAATTCAATGTCGAAAGTAAAGTCGATCGGACTCGCGACCATTCTCCTTGTTTTCTTCGCTTGTTGTCATGTAGGCGCATAGCATCGGAGTGAGCCATGCGAAGCTATTGGGTGACACCGACAAATCATCGTCGACGTCTGCATCAGGGAGCAAGGCAACACAAGCGCCTCAGCAGCCACGCATCCACACAGCTATTCTAGTCCAAGCGGAGGACGCATACGGAAAGCTCTTCCACACTGCATATTTGATGGCAGTTCACGGCCAACCGCTGTCATCTTTCAAGACAATGGTGGAAATTCAGAAAGCATCCAGAATTTTTTCTCTAAAAAAATGATATCAATAATGTGCTGTGTTGTTGGAGTGAGAATTTTTGGATCACTCTCCTACAGCTCGCCTGACACAGGCGAGGAGAGCGATAGATCACTCGCCACCTATTTTCAAATCACAGGGTCTGCTGTAATAGTGCTCCACTTTGTTGTGTTGAGCCCTCCCCGCTGGCTAAAGGAAAATGTCCTCCTTGTAAGCTTTAAAGCATACAATTATATGTATGGTGTCATTTAACTACTTTTCATGTACTGCAATCCATCGTTGTACAAGTGCAAAGCATCTACTGTACATAATATTGTCATCTCTGAGTCAAGGGCAAACTAGGCAGCCTTTGTAGAATTTCAGCCGTGCTTCTCCACTTTTTAATCATTGTAATGTCTTTCATGTACCGATGCCCACTTTTGTGACTTAAATAGATAGGTTGCCAAAAAATTCAAAGTCTGACGTGCGGCTTATACACCGAATGTCAACAAAAGTACGAATTCTGGACGCGAAAAGTGGGGTGTGGCTTAGACCCCAGCGGCTAACACACCAGGAAAATACGGTACTGGTCCCGGTGCATGCCAGCGATATGTGAACCAGCCTAAAATCTCCCCATATTGTTGCCATAGATTTTCATTTCGTCAAGACAATATAGTGACTGATATTATTGTATCATGAGTGACAGTTATATGCCACTGTCTTCGTCCGGGATGGGAATTATTGGAGCGAGACCTTAGTTCATACGAGATGGGTGTCGTGAACAATAAGTCACAATGTCTCACCTCCATCACAAGGTTGACGAATTAAATCCTCTGCTCCAAATGATGATTCCATATACTACTAGTGTGGCGAGGAGAATGCATCAGGTACTTGGTGTATTGAGACTTTGCTTCAGAGTGCAATCACTGTAGGCTGGTGTCCAAGGAGCTGGAGAGGAGTTCACTGAAATTCACCGCGAGTAGAAACACGTGTATCCCACAGGTCAGTCGAGGAATACTATTATAATTATAGTCTATAGAATCTACATGTAAATTGATTCCCTGAAACTCTTGGGGTAGTGAAAATCTCCTCCGCCCTATTCTCAGCTCGCACCATTAAAAATGTAACCGCATCACCAACCACCAACAAAGCAAAGGTTTCCTGTCCCACTACGCAAAGGAGAGTGCAATTCAGTTTGTTTACAATCCTGAAATACGATTTCGAAAACTGAGGACTTTGCTCACTTGATTGACTGAAAAGTGAAAACGTTACGTAGATCTACACAATCATATACACGTACATGCATGGTCAGCTACCGCAACCCTTCGACTGTGGTTTTCAATCTTCAAATTTTGGACTTCAGTTCTCCGAATCAAGCAGCTGAGCTGAAGCTCGAACTCTGGAGTCGAAGGTACTACCGGTACAAGTAGGGGTATAGCTGTACGTGCAGACTATCACTGCAGGCCAAAAAAAAAAAAAAAAAAAAAAAAAAAAAAAAGAGGCCGGCAGCAGCGTGCAGTGTGCAGAGCTACAGCGCGCCCTCCTGCTACAACTTACAAGTGTAGTACCGTACCAAGAGTACGAGTACATAAGCAGTTTTACATAATGTTACTCTTGATTGTACTGATATGAGTGTCACTAGTAAGTTCCTCCGGCTCTGTTGAGTCGTCCGGTGAGTAACATGGAACGCACTCTGCTCGCTTTGCCCTGCCGTTTTGGTGGTCTGGGCCTCGTCGTCCCCAGCTCTATGGCTGTGCAGCATCAGTCGTCCCTTGCCATAACCGATTCTCTAGTGCAACGGATTCTCCGCCAGGACCCATCTCTGGGTGATGCACTGGTGTCCATCCGCACCCAGAAGCGTCTTGCCACCTCCCAATCTCGGGATGCACTGCGGGCTGAAGTCACGATGATTACTGCTACCCTTGATGCCGACCAGCAGCGTGTCATCCAACTTGCCTCTGAGAAGAGTGCTTCAAGTTGGCTGACCTGTAGGCCCCTTGCACGTCATGGCTTCTCTCTCAGTAAGGGTGAATTCCGCGACGGGGTGTACCTCCGGTACAATTGGTTGCCAGACCGTCTGCCGTCAGATTGCTCCTGTGGTGCCAGGTTCACTACCTGCCATGCACTTTCCTGTCCGACGGGTGGATTTCCATCCATCCGTCACAACGAAGTGCGTGACATCACGGCAAGTCTGCTGAAGAAGGTTGCCCACAATGTCGCCGTGGAACCTCACCTCCAGCCTGTCACAGGAGAGCAGTTTCGCTATCGCTCAGCTATTGTGGAAGAGCAGGCTCGTCTGGATGTAGCTGCCAGTGGCCTTTGGGGTGGCCGGTTTGAGCGCACTTTCGTTGATGTCAGGGTGTTTAACCCGTATGCGTCCTCAAACCGGGCCACCTCACTGGCCTCAACCTACACTCGCTCGGCAGGAGCTGAAGGAGAAACGCCGGGCGTACGAGCAGCGTATCCGCGACGTGGAACATGCTTCATTTGTGCCAGCTGTGTTTGCCACAACAGGTGGAATGAGTCGCCACTGTACAGCTTTGTATAAGCGTATTGCGTGCCTGCTAGCAGAGAAGAGCAAGGAGCCGTACAGTGTGGTGATGGCATGGGTCCGCTGCCGCCTAAGCTTTGCGCTCCTCCGGGCGAGCGTCATGTGTCTCCGTGGATCCCGCAGCCTCAAGGTCTCCGTCGACTCTACCACCCCTGCTTCTCTTGTTGCTGCGGAGGCAGTGATTCCAGGGCACTAGCTCTTGCAGTGTGACTTGGCATTCGTGTGGTCTAACAGCAATTTTCATTTACACTTTTGTTATTAGTTTGCTTCACACCTTTTATCAGTCATTACGTATGATTTATAATGCAGTGGCAGTACCAGGCGTGGGCCATCCCCTGGATTATCAAAATGGGTGCTTTATTAGCTTTTCTATTATTGTGTTCACATGGCAAGAAAAACGACACCGCTATGCTACTGATATGAGTGCTGAGTCTGCTGACGCTGCACAGCAGGGAGTAGTAAAATACACGTATTTTACTACTCCCTGCTGCACAGCCTGCAGCGCTGAGTCCAGGGTTATTATTAAAAATTATTAATTAAATTTTTGATAGGGCAATCCCCACAGGCCTAAGGCCTTTTGACAGGGTACCCTAAAAAATGAAGAACAGAATTACGGAAGGTATGCAAGGAAGAACTAGAGCGGACCTCCGCTGGGAGGGCATTCCAGCGGTCAGAGCCAAGGAAAGTGACAGAAAATAAACCATAGCGACGTTTGGCTGTCGGAAGAGCAAGGGAAGAGGACACTTGAGAGCGGGTGCGAGAACTAGTGCAGGTAGAATTAGAGCGGAGTTCAGAAGTAACATTTTTATTTCGCGCATACATGTACAGCTGAGTGAGTGGCGCCATGGCCACATCATGCGAATTATTTTGTCCAAAATTGAAATTCAAAAAGCGAAAAAAATGGTCAAAATGTTTTAAGAAAATTCAAAAAATCCCCCAAAATGCAGAAAAAATTCGATCCGCTGCCATGGTTTTTACAGTACTCGTACCCAACATTTCCAAAAAATGAAAAAATAAATAAATGAAACCACAAACTGCTTTATGTGTGTCTGTACTGCTGTGTGCTTCCAAATTCGGGGGATGGGTGTCAAAAGGTCAAAGGTGTGTGTATTTGAAAGTACTGTTTTCACATGTCAAACTTGGTAATAATTATATTGAGCAGCACATGTACTCTCCACATCAGATGTGACAGCACTGTCGTTCTCCAAAAACGGCCAAAATTCAATCCTGATGAGGCCAAAATTCAAAAAAAATTCAAAGTGCGAAAATCCCACCAAAATTCAGAAATAATTGAAAACATTTTGTGGACAAGCCTGAAGCAGGATTCACAGAAGCTTTTTTGCGATGCGACACGCGATGCGACGCGATCTGCGATGGACGCGCTACGGGTGTTTGCAGTGCATGAACTCTGGCCAGTCGTCCCCGTACGCAAAATGCGTACGCATTTGTATTTACCGTACATTTTCCTCGTGTTTTGGGCGAATCTGAGCGGTACGACGCTGTCGAATTGGGCCTGAATTTGCCCTGAACCAGCCGCTATCGAAGTAAAATAATTAATTAGGTGTTTTGAAGGCCACACGGGAACACTGCGGCCATGTCTTCTTTCCTGCGTCGTTTGTTTGAAAATCGGCGTGTTTTTGAGCTCGTAGTTCGTCTTCGTTGTGGAATGGCCGTGCGTACATTCTCCTTGGAATTACCAAAGTCTCACCCCCGTTTATTACATTACTCGAGTTTTGCCGGCAGCCACGATAGTTTTTATCCCTGCTTCCATACGTCCTTTCATTGAACAGCCAAACGAAACTTTGTGGCGCGCCTTAGTTTTTTGTGGCGCGGGGGTCTCAAGTTTGTCACTTCGAGTTGTACACAACAATCAAATCAACACCTCAAAGGACCAAAAAACCAAGTGAGCAAGTATTTCAACCTTGCGATTCTGCCAGGCCTACTCTGAGGATGGAGACTTCTACTCGGTAGCACATACTCGTGTCAATAAGCTGGGAGGGAGAGCGTGGCGAGTAAAATGTTGGGATGAAGAGAGCCACATTCTCTCTCGGAAAAGGTCGTCGTTCCTGCACTGGCTACACACTTGCTCAACCCAGCTCTGCAGAAGGCTAGATTTTGCATGCACGTGCGAGATTCGCATCCGCCGCGCACATAGGCAGAGTCGAAATTTTTGTACTCTCGGATTTGCCGCCATCTTGACGAGTGGCCACTGCGAAACACCCGTGTATATATATATACGCGTACGCGTGCGATGCGAACTCGCGAAATACCATTCACAGAAGAAGTCAGTGATGCGACAACATCTTGCTGATTTGGCTACGTCACCATGATATTCGCGCGGTTTGATACAACTTGTACAAATTTATAGGCAACTCTTGAACCTTTGTACAACTTTGCTGTAGAAAAGGTCAAAATCGTACGCCAAATCGCTTGTCGCATCGCATCGCATCGCAAAAGTTGAGCCAAGCTCAACTTCTGCGATGGCCCAGTTGCGGCAGTTGCGTGGGGTGCGACAAGGCTGCGATTTGGGGTTTTCCCGGTTTCGCGCCTGTCGCATCGCGTGTCCATGGTGTCGCATCGCAAAAAAGCTTCTGTGAATCCCGCTTGAGCCTACACAGGCTAGCTACAGCTAGCGCCTCACGTCATCGGTTACGTCATTTAAAAGCATCTATTCAGTGACGTCACACCAAGAGGCAATCATCATGAATCATGCATGATCCATATCATTCGCGCATGCGCCACCAAAAATTGAACAGCAAGAAAGAACGTTATGCCAATGTTTAGTTTTCACTCCTCTGATCTGACCGTTGAGTTTTGTTCTTGGCTTTCCTGGATTGTAACATCGAGTCGGAAGCAAGGAGTTGTTAGTTCGTACAAGAACAATTTGAAGTATTGCATTTTGACGGTACACAACTTGGCGTCGTACCGGTCGCTTGTTGGGCGAAATGTCGTCTTGCGTCCACTACAAGTTTGCTAATAGCAAAGACTACTCAACGATATCTTTCGATGGACTTGCCATTAGCCTGGCGGACTTACGGGATGCTGTTTTGGTACAGAAGAAGATGGCTAAAGGCCCAACGTTTACGCTAGAGGTTGTCAATGCACAGACGAAGGAAGGTACGTGCATCAACTCATCTCTTGGATTTTTTGCCAATTGCGTATTGTATATTGTGATTTTTGTAGAGGCATACTATAAATCTTTGTTGCCATATTCTTCACTGCGTCCCATTGTTCTTTTGCTGACTGTTTGCAGTTACTTTACATACCTTTTGTGTTTGTTGTTTGTGACTGTCTCTTGTCCAGAATATAAAGGTGATCCTTCTCAGACAATGATACCTCGGAACGCTTCTGTTCTTGTACGCCGAGTTCCTCTCAAGACAAACAAAAAAGTCCTGTAAGTGACCACTAACATCCGGATAACTCTTGAACGTAATATTTTGTAGGCTCGGCCTCACTGAGCGTCGCTGACTCAAAACAAGATGTCAACAGCTTGCCTTTAGTGTAATTCTTTGATTGGCTTAATGTAGAAAATTCCACTCATCTGCTGACTTGACTTTTAATTATTATTATTAATTTATTCCGCAATCACGATGACATAGTAGCCAGTGCAGGCTGTCGTAATAAAACGACTCATCCGTGTTCCATTCCCGTGCAAGGTACATGCATGGTGCGACGGCACAATGACAGCTGTCGCAAATCACACTGAGTATTACACGTGTTTTTTGGTGATTCCTGGTTAGCTGCTAGCTTTTCCCTACTCGAAGATGTTGCCGCCGCGAAATCTGGGGGTTTGTGTTCGCCCTGGCGAAAACCGTGTTTTGATCCGTTGAGGGAGACGAGAGATACAGTGCGAAGACGTACGATCTGTCCGAGAATCGGCGAAGAAGAAAGCTTCGCAGACGACTCGTAGTGGTTGGGAACAGAATGGAACATATACCAGTCGATGCCTGTCATGGTAGGGATGACTGCTACGAAGTTTTAGCCCCATGCTCCCCAGCGCTTTTTAGCGCCCGACGATAATTACCAAATTTCATCGATTTTCCATGTGGATCAAAGCATAGTCTCCTCAATCTTCTCCAGTCGAGCTGAATCTGGACGCTACAATGTCGAGACGCGAAAAGAGAACATGCATGAACACACAGGAGCATCACATGCAGCTGCATTCTGCCTTGACGAAGCTGAGAACAACACCAGCACCACGCATTTGGAAGACATTTCGAAGAGGACGAACTACATATCTGCGTTCAAAAAAGCCTCTGTTCTGTGCAGTGCAGTATGCATGCGCGTGCATGTGCGAAGCACGGGGTCCGCGGATCAACTAATACTTCGTTCAAAAATCATTGTGCCACACGGGTTGTATGATTTGTGTGCGATCATGGCCTTTCTTCTTGACAAACAAAACTGAAGTTTTTCGATCTTCAAATCGCCATAGCGTCCTTGTCATGACTCCAAATCAGCTGAAACTTTGCAGGAGGAATGAAAATGCCATGCTGAATCGATTGGTACCATTTTCGAAGGGTTTCCTTGAAAAATAAAATTTAGCCTGCACTGGCTAGACATAGTGCCAATAAACATGGTTGATTGTGATGCGGGTGATTTTAACCAGCCATGGTGATGATTGTGAAAGGATAACACCTAATCCCTCAAACTGGATTGTACACAATTTCGTGCAAGTTTTAAATGCTCAATATGTTAGTGCTGCACTCCGCAGATGCTTTCCCCTGTAATATGTACTTGTTCAGGGGGTCCTCTGTGGTCATTCAACATTTATATTTTGCTTACAAAAATTGTGTTCGTATTCTTATGTTTCCATCACAGCGACACAACAATTGTGACCGGCAAGGCTGATTCACCAGTATGTATACTATCTTCTAATGTCCTTTCTCACTTCTTGACAGATAGCCCAACTGGCTTGCTGTATTCTCCTGTTCTCTGTACTGATAATCATCTTAATGCTGATCACCTTTTTAGTTATTTGTACTCATTGTGGTCATACTTTTACGCATGCCAACGTCATCCTGTATATGACACAATTGCAATACATGTATATACTCGTTTTCGTAAAAATACACGGACTACAGATGAGTTGGTCCTTCACAGCAGTTCACTCCGTGCAGTGCTGCTTATGGCTTTGGTGAAGTGGAAATGCAGGCTCTTTCTTCATCCTGTGTGGTGTGGTCACCAGTGTGAACTGTATGTGACCGTACTTTTTGAATGCTGTTGTGTATCGTTGCTATCCACAGTAATATCAATGAGGGGTATTTTACTGTAGCGAAGTAGATATTCCCATCACATGTTGATCGGATCGGCAACTAAATATGTACTCAGTATTGGCTTGCGCACAAAGGCTACAGATAGTTAGTTCTCATTCCCTGCAGTTCCTTCTGTGCCGTGCTGCTTGTGGCTTTGGTGAAGTGGTAATGGAAACAAAATCCAGGCTGATCCTTCATCCTGTGTGATAGGATCACTACTGTGAACTGTATGTGGCCGCACGTTTTGAATACTGGTATGTCACATTGCTGTCCGCCATAAGATCAATGGGAGATATGCAGTGAAAGATAGTTACATCACTTAGCCAGGTTGAATCGACGTGTACACAACATAAGATGACAGAACACAAGCGTGGAGTGTTGCTGTGATGAAGGAACACACGGCTGTGAATATGAAGGAAAAAAGTAAATCGTGGAAGATGTCCCCTAGCTTTTATCTGTGGTTAACCTTTTTTGCTATTAGGTTCCTTTCCATGGTCCTTGGAATTTGTAGTGGTGATAATTATGGTCCACCTTTTCTAATGACCCGGAAAGAGTATTCCCCTAGTATAAACGAATTTCTAGCTATAAAGTTGATTGTTCCAACTAGGAACACACGCTTCTTGCCGAACTTGACACTTGACTGACTCACGACTGCCATCCGGAGCACACGAGAAGGTGGAAGGTGCGACGTGCTCCTCGTGTGCTCCGGATGGCAGTCGTGAGTCAGTCAAGTGTCAAGTTCGGCAAGAAGCGTGTGTTCCTAGTTGGAACAATCAACTTCATGACTATTACCGCCGAAGTCGCAACTTCTAAGTTTCTAGCTATAGTTCAAGCAATCATTCCTGCTTATAGTTGCAAGAAGTTTTTGCATAATCCAAGTTATGCGACTCTTGTGCTGTGCACTAAGAATGATGAAATTGCAGAAGCTGCTAAGGGGCTATCCGGCATTAACGATAATTTTCACGAAACGAAAAAGTTTAGTTACGACCCTCGGCCCACCCTGAACGAAAAATAGATTGACTTGACAGCAAGAATGCCTTGATGTCTCACATATCAATATTTTTCAAAACGAAACTCCCCTTGACCCACCTACCCATAAATGAAACTTTTTCTCTTTGTGCAAAAGATCGATAATTATGGACCCTTACCCATATATTGACACGCAAAATGGTCCTCCATTCGCCCTGGCCACGTTTTCATGTGTTTCCCTCGCGTTGGATGCAACATCACATGGAATTACAGTATATCCAATGTATTTTGCTTTGGCTGGCTATGGGAATGTCCGGTAGTATGCATTTTGATGTACTTGTGCGCTTGGGACAAGCGCTTATCTACTGTTTAGCCAATCTGACTCGACGAACAAATCTGAAATGGTAGTTCCATAAAATGAAGTCGCAAAAAGGTGTGGAAACTGTGTGTTGGTGGATACAAATTATCATGTGTTCTGCTGCTGTATACTGGTGGGAGTTTGGCTGTGAGCGTGAATGATTGTGATTGTGTGTTTACTGCTTGGTGCTTATTTGTGTGCATGGGCTTTTTGAGGGCTGGGCTTATGTCTTTTTTTGCGGTCACGCTATTATAATTATATCTGTGTTATGATTACTGTATACTCAAGTGCAGTACTTGGACTGTTGCCCAATGAAATTTGATTGTGTAGATCGATGTTGTGCTATGCAACTACTGACCTTTGCATTGGTGCTGGGTGCTGACTACAGTAGAGTTGCGCGTGCAAGAATGTTGTTTCCAAGGGGTTAGCCTGCGGCGTTCTTATTTTTCAGCAATTTGGTTGTGTTCTTATAGCACGTTCTAACAAACAATTCGTTCTTGATCATCTGTATCCCAAAAGCTGCCGGAAAACCAGCACCGCCGTTCTTAACTTTAGGCTGTGGCGTTGTTAGCATGTCAGGCCTGACGTTCTTGGGCTCAACATTCTTCAGCGCACGACTCCACTGTATGCATGATATTCGGTTTCATTAGGGACAACTGTAGTTGCAAGTATTTCCAAGTTGAATTTGTGCATTTTCTCACATGGCTCTCCATAGTCGTGCATTTTACTGTTCTCAGAGGCATTCTACTGGTAACAGCTTGATGTAGTTTTGAATCGTTGCTATCCGTTTTCTATTTACCAAAGCAAGTCTGTCAATGAATCAGTCCATGTTTGATGCCGCAAGATTATTTTGGATATGTGCAAGCTTGACGTTACATGCATCATTTTTTTTGGCTCTCTTCCCATGTACCTAATTTATGTTTTGCAGCATTCATTTCTGATTGGCAGTGAACTACATTTGCTAGTCCGACCATTCACTATTGTGTTGATCATTTTGCGGTTCCGGAGTTGTTTTATTTCTGCTGTGAAGTGTATGTCTCTCTTCTGATCATAAGTTGTCTCAAATCTTTCTCTACTCCAAGGACCCAACGCCGTCACATACGGCTGCTAAGCTTGCCAAGGTGCGCTTACCATTATGTGTATGTTTGTGCTTTCGGTGAAGAAGTGAAGTTGGCACGCCTGTGTGTGTGTGTGTGTGTACGTGTGCATGCCCGTTGTGCTCTACATTGGGCATTGTAATGAAGTTGGTATGTATGTGGGAACACTTTATTGTCGGTGGTACGTTGTATATGTGTATGCGTGAGTGCATGTGGTTTAGTGCGAGTGCCCTATATATTTGGTGGTGCAACAAAGTTGCCATGCGTGTGCATGCTGTGTTGCATGACAGTGTGTGTGTGGTGGGGGGGGGGGGGGGGGGGGGGGGCATCATTTATTCAGCAACTGTTCAATGTGCCTATCATAGTTGACATTAATAAATAACTCACTCTTGGTTCAGCTTTTCATAGTTAACTCGTGGCATGCTTCACATAAGTATTGTACTGCAACCCGACAGTCTTCACTCTTTACTGGTTTCACGTGGTTAGCACTGCTCATGACGGACCGTCCCTGCTATACACTCTTGACTATAACTTTCTCTCCTTTTTTTATTTATATTCAGTTTATTTTCAATTTGGTTCATTGACTTCACTTTATCTAGACTGCTGATTTAGTGCATACTGATGCCACTGAAGAAGAGAAGATAAAGGCCGCTATGGAGCAAGGCACAGTCGAGTTCACGGCAGTGAAGTAAGCGGTCTGCTGCTGCCTGTATGTTTCCTTCTGCTACAAACCCTGATTTGTGCCGTTATAGAAACTGCTTGAGTTATTCAAGAGGTTCTGCTTCGCATCAAAGAGCAATTGCATGGAGGATAGGTGTCTAAGTTAGAGTCGGCTGCTTCATGTGTTTTTGGGTCCAGATTTCTGTGTTCAGTTGAGGATCTCTATATTATAAAACACACGAGGAAGATGTGTATGGATTGATCTGGTGTGTACCATTCAAATTTGGCAGCGTGATGTTGGAAACCTCCCATATTTTGCTGCGGGAAATTCCTGATACATATTTCATGTGTTTTGTTTAAAACAGCAGAACATCTTTGTGATGTATGGCACGTCATAGTCCTTTTTCCCATGAATTCCACGGTGCTGCTTCCCCAATTATGCGGTATTCGTACCTTGCGACATAGGTGTAGTCTTTTCACGATTTGGGAACTCTGCAGTGCCAGGTACATACGGCTTGAGAGCTATAAACTGTCTATTATGGGACTAGCATATTATTGCCTGCACCTGAGAGCTCCTTTCACTGAGCAAGAATTCATTTCCTTGCAAATTTGTTTGGCCTTTGTGTGTTGATTATTTTGGCCTTCACCTTAATGCACTTCTCTACTTGGCTTGTTTATTTTTAGTTTGCCCAAGATTCAACCGCCTCGTAGAGGTGGCCGGCCGCAACATCATGCTGTGCAGTATGTGCCCCAGGAATCCATGGTTTTACCAAGCAATTACGTTTGCTACCGGTGTGGAGAGAAAGGACATCACATTCGCAACTGCCCTAATCCAAAGGTGCGTGACTTCTTTCAGCAGACTTGTATGTAAATATTGCGACCGAGCTTTTGGCCATATTCTTATATCCTTTAATCCATGACACCAAGAGTTCCAACCCATCCCGTAGTACGCTGCTCTACACGTGGCTTCCGGTGAAGGTATGCTACCTACGTTACACAGCCATCCACTATGGAGACCAATTGGGTTGCGGCATCATTATTGATGTGCTTTGGTCTCGAGCTTGCGGGGCTTCTGAAACCATGCTTTGCACTCGGCATTGCCTTTGAATGCACTTCTGTGATGCATTTTTTGTGTGTCCGCATACAACTGTTGCGCCTTAACTGTAAGATTTAAATTCAATCAGCCAGTTGGTCATTTGCATGAGTAATAAGGGCAGCAGCGCGCTGCATAGAGCACCCACCGCTCGGAGTCAGAGTTGAATATACTCCGGGGATTAGACGTGACTTGAATCCACTGAATTGCTAGTGCTGAATGCGAGCAGTCGTTTGTACGACAAGGGCCTTATCGATCCCTACTTTGTGGCATGATCTTGACACTGCGACTCTGTGAGTTCATGTTTCTTGCCCAAACCTAGCAACCCTGGTGTGACCGCTGTCCGTTACTTGCTTGTACCAGGTGTTTGACTCAGTAATGTTGTTTTGTTCACAGTCCGACGTCCCCATCCATGTGCCTGGAGCTAGAAACCGTGGTACTGGCATTCCTAGTGAATTCCTAGTTCCTGCTAGTGATGAAAAGGCGCCAGGTGTGTTCCGAGACCGGTCTGGGAATCTTGTTATTGCCAAAATTGACAGGTAAGCTGACTACTGAATGGAATGTTTGATTGCTGCTGTGCTTCACCCTGTTGTTGTCGACAGGCACTTTTAGGGCACAGAGCTGGCAGAATTAGAAGGTCTCTGTATGCGTTCATGCTAGTCTTAGGCTTACCTCTTTTTTGTGCTGTGCTTGCCTAGGTCTTGTAACGATCCAGGGTCTTGATAGATACAGGACTCTGCTGGTTCCATTCTCAGCTGGCTTATGTCATACTTTGCCTTAATTTGACCTTTTTTTCTCAGGGATGCCTACCTCAAAGGCAAGAAGCTGACAAAGAATGATTTTCCGGAGGGTGCAGATGTTCCTGATGCCCCGACATTGCCAGTCAAGGAAGAGCGTGTTGTCCCTGAGGAGCTAAGATGTTACCTGTGCAAAGAGCTGATGAAGGATGCTGCCCTGATCCCTTGCTGTGGGCAAAGCTTCTGTGATGAGTGTACGTATTGCTTGCTGATGTTCTTTCTGTTTTCGATCTACAGTAATTTGAATGTAATGATAGAGAGGTTCCGCATAACGTAATTACGTTAGTAAAAAACGTAGTCGATCTACGGAAAGTCTTACGTAAACCGCATGCGCATCTGGGTTCCGCCATACGGAGTTTTCAAATCACGTAGCTGCCCTTGGCAACTCCGAACACGGCAGTGTACGACCAGATCGTCCTGGGGAGAGAGTCATAAATTTGTACCCCAATCCACTTACGGACCAGCTACGTTATCAGAGCCCTATCTACGTACTCTCCGTAGACAACTTTCCGTAAGTGGAGTGCAAACTCGCGAATTCACGGGTTTTTCCCGCCCACTAACGTAAAGTTGCTCAACTTTACGTAGTGCGGAACCTCTCTGATGCAATCTCCAAGTATGTCTGACTGTGTGGCTACTACAGTTGTGGCAAGTGAAATCCGACACTTGCCATAGGGGACAGCGCCACAAATGGAGATCAATGATGTAATGCACTGCACCAAATTTGTACTATAGAGCCGTATGCATCCCAAACAGATCGAAAGGTCACAGCGTAGATACACACAGTTCACAAACATAGTACACATAAGGAGTATTGGTATCCAATCCCCATTCATTTTTGCCAGCACCTTTTGAACCTTGACTGTGATGAGTACGAGTTTTGTCATCAGACAGATAAAGTTGTATGTAACACATGTACTTTATGTACGCGGGGTTGCAGACTGCGTGGTGCAGTCCCTTATGCCAAGTGTCGGATTTCACTTGCCACAACTGTAGTATCCCGGACCATGTGCCCATTTTTTCTTAGAAGTACATGTATGTATAAGGTGCTACTCCGTTCACATATTAGTTATATCCAGTTCACATCTATAATGGCCCCAATGTGCATGAAACTTCACCATGACCGCCTGCCGCAAACCTTTCACTGCAACTCCGACACCCTCGGATGTTTGCAGCACGTGCAATGTCATCATACAGCTGAACGGCGCTTGTGTGCATTCTATTCTCTACAATGTTTTGTCTCTGGGTTTTCAGATTATGTGGGCTTTTGTGAAGTGGGCTTTGTTGAGTGGTGTGTATCTTACCTACTTTTATCAAATTGCTGTCTCTAGGTATTCGGGATCATTTGATCAAGAATGACTTTGTGTGTCCGTATTGCAAGGAGCTTACATCCCCAGACAGGTTGTCACCCAATGCTGGTCTTCGTTTGGTAAGGTCCATGTTGCTTATCCATGGTATTTTCTCTCCTGCCACTCTTGGTTCTTGGTCTTCGATGTTGAGCTTTCTAGATACACCGCAGCATGCTATATTCTTCACTTGGGTTTGGCGCGGCGTGTTGCCCTCATTTTGTAGCCAAGAACTTGGGAATCAGTTGGGTCATTCCTGCTTCCAAGTCTGTTTTTCGGGGACTTTAGCTGGTTTTGTACGTAACGGGTGTGACACAAGCAGTACCTTTGAACCCGCTGTATTACGTGTGAAATGTTGCAGCTAAGTCGCACGGCGATTCCTATCCAGGCAGCCTGGCCGTCATTTCACTATGTAGTGACGGCAGCACGCCGCCCTGCGCACCTATACTATAGCTCAGAGATCAGATTTGCATGCTCTTGTCAATAGTGATACCGTAAAAGCCTGTAAATGCACCCACCCAGTATAACGCCCACTACCCGTGTCCACGCCCAGGTGCCCAGTGTCAACACGCTTGTCCCATTTTCTAGCCTACCTCCGTGTAAACGCCCATGGGCGGCAGTGCAGTACATGCACAGCTCCACGTGCATGCATGGTACTGTACAGTCCATTTCAAAACTATAGACGCGTACCTAGGCAAAAACCGTTATGCCAGCATCTATACCACATAAAATCTGTGATCACTTTGTGCATAAATTATTCCAAATTGGGCGTCTGTTATCCAATCGTTTAGAAACTATATGAGAGTAATTGTGGAGCGGTCCTGAGCAATATTCCGAAAACTATTCTCAAAAAGTTCCAGCCAAATTTGAAATATTTCAAAAACCCTACGCGTCTATAGTTTTGAAATGGACTGTAGTATAACTATAGTGTACCGTGCACTGTGCTAACCTTATACGTACTAATACCTGCAAGAGTATATAACCCCCCCCCAAGAGTGTGCAACTCCTGATACCCTTTCTATGGGGTTCCCCGGTGGCGAAAACTCGCATCACGTGGTGTAGTGTCCCAGTTGCACGTTTCCAGCAAGCAGCAGAGTAAATTATAAAAAGCACTCCCTGGCAGAAACTCACTGCGCGTATGCAACTCGCCAGCACAATCATGGCAGATTTTCGGATTGCGCGCACGCTATCCTTAGTTGTACGTATTGTAGAATGGCTAATTTTAGCGGATACAAATTTTAGCCCAACTTTATGCCCATGTTCTTGACCTTCACTAACGTTTCTGCCCAGGGCCTTACCACTGGCTTTGACCGTAGTGTCCTGTATGCTATGCTTCGTTTATGCTACTCCAGCTGAACTGTATGATGGGTTTTTTTTGCGTGTTTGACTTTGTGCTCAGGCCATCGCCAAATTTCTCAACAATAATCTACAAGATGTACCGCCCACACCTGAAGGTGGAAAGAAGAAAATAGAGTTTCGTCTTAAGACTGCTGGTTCATCAAGTTCTACTGGCGCCAAGGAGGAGGCATCTTCTCGCAAGTCAGAGGTTGTGCCAGAGCTTCAGGCTTCTGCTCGTCAAGCTGAAGGCGAGAAGAAGACTGATGCCGCCTCAACTGCAAACTCGACGGTATCAAGTGAGTCTCCCTGACTGTAAAAGCCATTGTGATCCTATGTTTCTTCATCTTGTCCGTGTGGTGGTTTGCTGATGCACGTCCAGCCCTTTGTGGTGAATATCGAGTTCGAGTTCGTACTCCAATGAAAGACGATCTCGGTGCCGAAATTCATGTTATGGCAAGGGTTAGCAAACAGAATTCATGCTTGAATGATGTTGACAGGTTGTATGGGTACAGACAGTACAGTGTGGTGACTTAGTAACTGTCAGACCGATCCACGATTTGTCTTCCTACTGCTCTTCCAAACGAAAGTGTGCAAGTTCGCATTTTAGTTCGCGGACCGAAAAAGTGTTCGCACACTCAAATTGACATATTTATTTGTTGTTGTCCACCAGTTTATTACCAAGATACTGTAGGGTCTTATCTAGCAACATTAGGCACAATACTAGTACTGACTGATGATAGAGCCGAATCTCAGACCGTTGATGTCAATATCATCAGTCAGTATTTTGCCAAATGTTTCAGGTTCTATTAAACCCAACAATAACGTTACCTTGGCAATAAATTGAAGGACAACTATGCACAATGATTAAATTTTCGCCCTTTCTTCAACTGCTTCATTGTAGTCATTTTGTTCGCCTGTGTTTTGTCCTTATTTCAGCTCCTCATCGTTCACCAATCCATGCTGGTAATGACGCAAACTCGATTGGAACACCAGAAAAGGATACCACTCCGAGGGTAAGCTTTCTTGTGGTGAACACTCAAGAGCTTGTGGCCTGCACTTTCTAGCATGTTGATCTACTCCATTCCATCCCTTATCCTTTTACACAGCTTATGGTGTGTACAGGCGAAAGGTATTTATGAATGCTCCTAGACCTACACCAAGAGTACATAAACCAGAGTGTGCAACTGTGCATATCAGATCTGAAACAGTTCAGTTCGTGCACTACGTCGCCCTGATGAGGTCAGCCAAGCCGCGACTTGCGTACAGCTCAATTTTTCATGTTTCATAGCCCGGAAATCAGCCAAGTTTGCTTGATTTTAGACGTCCTGTTTCAGGATTTCGGTGTTTTGTGTGAATGTGTACGCTGCGTACATCCACCGACAAGTAAAGTCACCAGGCTATCCGTATCAAAAAACCGAAATCAGGACAAACTCAGTGACCTGCACCACCGCGACTGGTTACGCAACTTTTCACCGTACCTGTGGCTTACCATGCCGTCAGAAATGACGTACTGCACGAATTTCGCTCCCACAGGAACCATCCCGAGTTGCACACTCAGGTTCATGTACTCTTGCCTACACTACTAGTACTTACTGCCATTCTATTTGAACTTCTCTTCTGACCCTGCCTTCTCTTTTTCTTTTCTTTTTGTGGTAGGCATCACCACCTCGCAGTCGATCTGCTACTCCTCCACACTCTGGAAGTGACTCTGAAAGTGAACGTAGAAGTAAGCCCCCCCCCCCCCCCCTGATCACCATGATGTTGCTGACAAACAGTTGATTCTCCGCGTGCATCTACGCACCATGGACATAGTCATGTGCTTGGGTTGTGTTCTTTTGACCTTCACACCTTCTTACAATAGAATTATCCTTGTGTCCGGCTGTTTTACCATTTTTCAGTGCATGTTTGTCAAGGGATGCATAAGATCCGATAGGATAAGTTATTCCAGCCGGAAGAAGAAGTATGCACATACCGTAAATCACCGCGAGAACGCCCCGGCCTCGATTTAGAGAAAACGTTGTGTCCGAGTGCTACTAGGGTCATGCGATGTAAGAACCTGGGTGAGCATGGATGGACTGCATGTATATTGTACATGGCATGTGACGTACAGACAGGACTCACTCATCGCCCCGCATCCAAAACACTACCACAGAGGTGGTCCAGGTGGTGCTGCACTCTCGCGGTACTTAGCGGTCGTATCAATATTCATTTCTGTACTCTGAGGGCCTGACTTGTATTCTACACACAACTCTTTGTCTATTTTTAATCAATTAGGGAGAAAGATTGCCCAAGAGTTGCAGCAAACGTATCAGCAGGTGGCTGGAATGCAAGCAGTTCCTGGGTCTGTTGTACCTCCGTAAGTCTCAAGATCTTGTTAGTCATGTCAAGTCATATCAACTGCCGGTATTCTGACTTGTGCTGTTATCTTTTGCATTGTGACATCCAGGAATTGGTAGGTTATAGCAATTTTACCTACCGCATTTTCCGGAGTATAGTGCGCACTTAGATGCATTATTTCAAGCCCCAATTCGCAAGTGTGCACTATGCTCCGGATATGAGAATGCATGCACTTCGAAAGTAGTGTGCAATGTATCAAACTGTTGCAAAGTTTGCCACCTCAGCATGCTTTTGTGTTCCGTTAGGTAAAAAGTCAACTGAGTTCTTCTTTCTACCTTTGTCCTGACTGGTCATGGCACCATGCTCAACAAATCGAAACAACAAAGCTTCCAGTCCCAAAATATTCAGACAAAGCTAATCGTTGTGAAAATGACCATGCACATCAGTGCACGGATCACTAGATACATGTAAATCACCCTCCACTGCGGTCACTTACCATGGGGTCTGCGTGATCTACACAGCTGGCCAGTGGATATCGTAGTGGAAATCAGCCCTACATTTATAAGTGCATTGAATTGCATTCCCTTATACACTTTTACTCTGTGTGTTTTTCATTTTCATTGTTTGTAGGTTCGTACCCAGTGTACCACCGCTATTCCCTGGAACTGTTGGCATGTTTCCTGGAGCGCCGGTAGCAGCACCAGCTGTCGTCAGTGATGCACCACTTTTGTCTGAGGAAGACTTCTATCGCCTGCGCAACCAACTGAAGAAAGGTGCCCCGTAAGTACCCCTCATGAGCTGTCTCTTGTAGTAAAACGAAATTAGGATACCCATAACATCAGTGGTGACGGGATATTGATGCCTACCTCGTATTGTGTCCAGTGTGCCAAGTTTGACTAAAGACACATCGGAAATAGGGTCTCTTTTGCTTGCCTGCTTCAGTGTTGTTCCAAGCTTGGCTGGATATACAGTCAACCTCCTGAATAACGACGACCTTGGGTATGACATCTTGCGAATATCTACACTTCTCATGCACGGTTGAGGGCCATCATTAGCGAGGTTGACTGCTGTTCTGTGGTCTTTTTATTGATTTTGCATATCGTAGTTGTGATAGCAGCGTGCACTCTCCCTTCTTAGTTCTCATACATTTGTGGCTGTAAACTGTTGTGATTGAGTGCTCTTTGTATTTTCGTGTCCTCCCCAGGCGCTCGGTGAGTCGCAGTATGAGCCCCAGTGTGTCAGTGTCTCGGAGCAGGTCGCCCAGCCAGCCGCGTGCTCCACGCTACAGCCGTCCACTGCATCGAAAGTCGCCAAGCCGTTCCTACTCTCGCAGCCGTTCACCTCCTGTGGTGCACACCCGTTCGCCGTCGCCTCGCAATGATCGTTACGCCACGCGACGTTATGATGAGCGATACAATCACCGATCTCGCTCACCAGCTGACTATGAAGCATACCGGGCGTGGTATGACTATCATTATTCCAGTAGAAGAGGGCGAGGTCCCCCACCTCCACCATCGCATGCTGACAGTCGATATCATGAGAGTCGGCATCGAGATAGCAGTCGGTATCGTGATGATCGCTATGCGGAGGAGCGCTATAGAGATGAACGTTATCGCGAGGAAAGATATCGTGGTGAGCGATATCGTGACGATGGTTATAGAGAGCGTGATCAGCGTGGTGGTGATCATCCGCGCTATAGGTCTCGTTCCCCTGCGTATCCTAGCTATCGAGAGTTGGTTGACAACCATCGCTCACGCAAGGGTGACAGCAGACGAGAGCATGACCGATATGATGAAGAGTCCCGGTCATCTAGTCGTTACCATAACGAATACCGTGGCCTGAGTCCAGCTCCGAATCGCTATGATTCACCTCGTTCTCGTTCGGTGAAGGATTCTGCACCAACCACCAGCTTTCGCATCACTGAGCATGTTGACAGCCCGTCAGCTGCTGGCAATGAGCAGCATCCCAAGAAGAAACGTCGCATTGTTGAACTTGTCACGGTCCCTGTGGCTGCAGTGAGTCCTCCTCGCCCTTCCCACCGTCCATCCACAGAGCCTATACCTGTGGATGATGTTGATGAACCAAGCCACGAAGACGAAGATGATGATGTGGAAACGGTAGCACCCATCAAGCGCCGCCACTCGTCCCATAAGAAGAAGAAGAAGAAGCACAAGAGCAAGAAGGACAGGACTGCGGCCGGTGGCAGCTCTACAAGAGATGAAGATGAATACAGCCAGGCAGATGAAGAGGAGCCACAGCCGCCGCCGCCACCCGAGCAGCCGAAGCAATCTGAATCTCACCACCGTCAAATAGAGAAATCGCGTCGGAGCAGCAAGTCTAGTAGCAGAACAAAGTCTAGCAGTGCGCGCGATGATGACTATACACTGGTGGATATCATGGTGGATCCCATTGACCTGACCACCCACAAGGTCAAGCCATCCAGTAGCACTACTAGCATTCGTGACGATGACGTCGTCCTGGCTGATGTGCCCAGGGAAAAATCTGATAACAAGAAAGAGAAGAAGCACAAGAAGCACAAAAAGCATCATAAGCATGAAAAGTCATAGCTGTGCTGTGACTCTCATGTATCACTTGATGGAACCTTTATGATTAATTTCCAACCAGTTGGGTGCTGGTTGCTGCTGGTATGTAGTTTTTAACCCACTTGAAATGCTTTTTTCTAGCATATTGAAAACATCCAAACGGATTCTGAAATATTGACAATACTTCCAAAAATTGTTTTTAAGTTATGAAAAGCCCAAAACCGTGTCACAATATCATCATCCGTTTTCATGAAAGCACACTCACCTTTCCTATCTCATAGCGTCTGCTTATGTTTTTACTTTCAACTTTTAGATTTCCTATTGTTTTGCTTCATACTCATTTTACGGTTCATCCTATTTTCTACAATACTGTTCATGACGTGCTGTGTTGCGTTTCTGATCCTTCTGTTGCGCTTCACAGCCATTCGGTCTTCGTGTGCAGCATGACCTGCCACACACTGTGTGAAGCGTGTTGTACACTGTACTTCAGTTCTTGTCCTCCATGTGGTATGTGTTGTGAGTCTTGTGACATGTGTCTTCTATTGCATTGCTCCTGTTCATCTGGCCATGTGCATCATGTAAAGGAGCATGGGCAGTGTGCTCTATGTTTTTTTTTAAATGCCAAAGGCTCCGAAACGTACCAGTATGAAAGAGGTTCTTTTGGCATCATATGCAGAAAGTGTAGTTCTGTGCAGCTTCCACTATTTGGGGACATGCCTACAGCTGGTCTCGTAGATACCCAGGTCCTGATGTATAATGTTATCCTCTTCACGTATGCACCTCGTTCTGCATGTGTGTGTGTGTACTGCAATAGCTGACAGCCTAGCCATGCCATTACATTGTGTTCTGATCTCTTGTGACTGTGTACAGCGAAATACGTCACTTTCCAGGCTGCATTTTTGCAGAGTTTTCTTCCTGTCCCGGCTTTCTACCTAACCATAAATTCGGTGCATGCCTTCTGTTTGCCATAATAGTTATGCTCAGTGTATGATCATCTGTATTCTTCATGATTTTTCGTTGGGAACTGAATAAACCTCTTCTTTTCCAAACCAAACAACTGGTCTCTACTGCGCTGTGTACATGTATGCTGTTGTGCAGGGAGTCATGAAATACCATAGTTGTATGGTATTTGACGACTCTCCGGTCGCCTAGCACTGGGATTGGCAGTGACAGTTCTATTGCCAGTATTGGGGAGGTGCACTTCAACCAGTAGTACTAGCAGTACTCGTGTTACATGACATTAGAAAATTTAATTTAATATAAACAAGTCGAGAGGGTGCAACTCCACATGCATGCACCATGATGGGCCAACCCACTGGACACAGTACTTCCCAGCTATCAGGCAATGGTCGGAGTGGATCCCGAGAATTGGGGTTATCTAGTAATATCTACTGACTTCTGACGTCATCAGTTATAAGCCATGGCTTCAAACTTCCAGCCCAGTAGAAAGGGTGAACGTGTGGATTTAGATTGAAATTTCTGTGTGGACTTTGACTTTTATGGCATGGCGTAGTGGGTGAGTCATTTTGCATCTAAACTAGCTATAGCTAGGAAAGCAGCGGTGTTTCGAATAATTATAAGGCCAAGCAGAATGTGCGTCATCACCTGTAGTCGCCATGGAATAGGTACCGGCGGATTATGCCGGCATAATTATTGGCATAATATTATTTGGTGGTTGAAAATTTGGAGCATAATTTGGCATCCTCTCGGAGGTAGGAGCATAACTACAAGATTATACCACAGTTCTAGTATGTAGGCTATACAATTGTGTACAATGCACCTGATCAGTGCTGGTGGTCTGCATGGCAAAGGGTTCGGAGGTCATGCAGATAGTATTTTCAATGAAAAGCAGCACAGGGTAGAAATCATGGCAATACATTATTGTATGCTCGAACTCGTCTTCTTCAAAGTTCTTTCTCACACTGACAGTACATGTAGCAGAAGATGCGAGTGAATCAGCCTTCATCAGGTATCCCGGGGGGGGGGGGGGGGGCGAGATAGTGGCGGGTAGTCCGCAAAACTCCGTGTACATGTAGATCTACATGTCATTACATTTGCACGTTATGCATGTTACGAAGTCATGACCAGTCTGGATTTTAGCAGCCATGATATGACTGCAGGCTACGGACTCTTGCTCTAAATTGATGTATAGTTGATGTTCGGTCATGATGGAAGGAGAAGTGGAGCTACGGGAGAGATGAGCTGATTATTCGCAAGGTGAGGCCCAGGGTGACATCGGATGGACGAGTATGATGTTTACGAAGACAGTTGAACATGATAATTTTCAAAGGTAACTCAAACAAATTTGGCAATGAAATAATATTTTTACTGAAGTACAAAAGAAATCACTGTAATGAATAGAAGAAGTACATGATTGTATTGTTTTCTCTCTTCCATGTTGACCTCATACATGCATGGACACCTTGGTATGGGGATACTCATGTACATGTATTTTGTTGTACTTATGGCTACTTGCAACTTGCAAGTACGAAAAAGGCACGATGGTTATAGAGAGCGTGATCAGCGTGGTGGTGATCATCCGCGCTATAGGTCTCGTTCCCCTGCGTATCCTAGCTATCGAGAGTTGGTTGACAACCATCGCTCACGCAAGGGTGACAGCAGACGAGAGCATGACCGATATGATGAAGAGTCCCGGTCATCTAGTCGTTACCATAACGAATACCGTGGCCTGAGTCCAGCTCCGAATCGCTATGATTCACCTCGTTCTCGTTCGGTGAAGGATTCTGCACCAACCACCAGCTTTCGCATCACTGAGCATGTTGACAGCCCGTCAGCTGCTGGCAATGAGCAGCATCCCAAGAAGAAACGTCGCATTGTTGAACTTGTCACGGTCCCTGTGGCTGCAGTGAGTCCTCCTCGCCCTTCCCACCGTCCATCCACAGAGCCTATACCTGTGGATGATGTTGATGAACCAAGCCACGAAGACGAAGATGATGATGTGGAAACGGTAGCACCCATCAAGCGCCGCCACTCGTCCCATAAGAAGAAGAAGAAGAAGCACAAGAGCAAGAAGGACAGGACTGCGGCCGGTGGCAGCTCTACAAGAGATGAAGATGAATACAGCCAGGCAGATGAAGAGGAGCCACAGCCGCCGCCGCCACCCGAGCAGCCGAAGCAATCTGAATCTCACCACCGTCAAATAGAGAAATCGCGTCGGAGCAGCAAGTCTAGTAGCAGAACAAAGTCTAGCAGTGCGCGCGATGATGACTATACACTGGTGGATATCATGGTGGATCCCATTGACCTGACCACCCACAAGGTCAAGCCATCCAGTAGCACTACTAGCATTCGTGACGATGACGTCGTCCTGGCTGATGTGCCCAGGGAAAAATCTGATAACAAGAAAGAGAAGAAGCACAAGAAGCACAAAAAGCATCATAAGCATGAAAAGTCATAGCTGTGCTGTGACTCTCATGTATCACTTGATGGAACCTTTATGATTAATTTCCAACCAGTTGGGTGCTGGTTGCTGCTGGTATGTAGTTTTTAACCCACTTGAAATGCTTTTTTCTAGCATATTGAAAACATCCAAACGGATTCTGAAATATTGACAATACTTCCAAAAATTGTTTTTAAGTTATGAAAAGCCCAAAACCGTGTCACAATATCATCATCCGTTTTCATGAAAGCACACTCACCTTTCCTATCTCATAGCGTCTGCTTATGTTTTTACTTTCAACTTTTAGATTTCCTATTGTTTTGCTTCATACTCATTTTACGGTTCATCCTATTTTCTACAATACTGTTCATGACGTGCTGTGTTGCGTTTCTGATCCTTCTGTTGCGCTTCACAGCCATTCGGTCTTCGTGTGCAGCATGACCTGCCACACACTGTGTGAAGCGTGTTGTACACTGTACTTCAGTTCTTGTCCTCCATGTGGTATGTGTTGTGAGTCTTGTGACATGTGTCTTCTATTGCATTGCTCCTGTTCATCTGGCCATGTGCATCATGTAAAGGAGCATGGGCAGTGTGCTCTATGTTTTTTTTTAAATGCCAAAGGCTCCGAAACGTACCAGTATGAAAGAGGTTCTTTTGGCATCATATGCAGAAAGTGTAGTTCTGTGCAGCTTCCACTATTTGGGGACATGCCTACAGCTGGTCTCGTAGATACCCAGGTCCTGATGTATAATGTTATCCTCTTCACGTATGCACCTCGTTCTGCATGTGTGTGTGTGTACTGCAATAGCTGACAGCCTAGCCATGCCATTACATTGTGTTCTGATCTCTTGTGACTGTGTACAGCGAAATACGTCACTTTCCAGGCTGCATTTTTGCAGAGTTTTCTTCCTGTCCCGGCTTTCTACCTAACCATAAATTCGGTGCATGCCTTCTGTTTGCCATAATAGTTATGCTCAGTGTATGATCATCTGTATTCTTCATGATTTTTCGTTGGGAACTGAATAAACCTCTTCTTTTCCAAACCAAACAACTGGTCTCTACTGCGCTGTGTACATGTATGCTGTTGTGCAGGGAGTCATGAAATACCATAGTTGTATGGTATTTGACGACTCTCCGGTCGCCTAGCACTGGGATTGGCAGTGACAGTTCTACTGCCAGTATTGGGGAGGTGCACTTCAACCAGTAGTACTAGCAGTACTCGTGTTACATGACATTAGAAAATTTAATTTAATATAAACAAGTCGAGAGGGTGCAACTCCACATAACATGCATGCACCATGATGGGCCAACCCACTGGACACAGTACTTCCCAGCTATCAGGCAATGGTCGGAGTGGATCCCGAGAATTGGGGTTATCTAGTAATATCTACTGACTTCTGACGTCATCAGTTATAAGCCATGGCTTCAAACTTCCAGCCCAGTAGAAAGGGTGAACGTGTGGATTTAGATTGAAATTTCTGTGTGGACTTTGACTTTTATGGCATGGCGTAGTGGGTGAGTCATTTTGCATCTAAACTAGCTATAGCTAGGAAAGCAGCGGTGTTTCGAATAATTATAAGGCCAAGCAGAATGTGCGTCATCACCTGTAGTCGCCATGGAATAGGTACCGGCGGATTATGCCGGCATAATTATTGGCATAATATTATTTGGTGGTTGAAAATTTGGAGCATAATTTGGCATCCTCTCGGAGGTAGGAGCATAACTACAAGATTATACCACAGTTCTAGTATGTAGGCTATACAATTGTGTACAATGCACCTGATCAGTGCTGGTGGTCTGCATGGCAAAGAGTTCGGAGGTCATGCAGATAGTATTTTCAATGAAAAGCAGCACAGGGTAGAAATCATGGCAATACATTATTGTATGCTCGAACTCGTCTTCTTCAAAGTAATTAGTTCTTTCTCACACTGACAGTACATGTAGCAGAAGATGCGAGTGAATCAGCCTTGATCAGGTATCCCGGGGGGGGGGGGGGGGGACGAGATAGTGGCGGGTAGTCCGCAAAACTCCGTGTACATGTAGATCTACATGTCATTACATTTGCACGTTATGCATGTTACGAAGTCATGACCAGTCTGGATTTTAGCAGCCATGATATGACTGCAGGCTACGGATATTGCTCTAAATTGATGTATAGTTGATGTTCGGTCATGATGGAAGGAGAAGTGGAGCTACGGGAGAGATGAGCTGATTATTCGCAAGGTGAGGCCCAGGGTGACATCGGATGGACGAGTATGATGTTTACGAAGACAGTTGAACATGATAATTTTCAAAGGTAACTCAAACAAATTTGGCAATGAAATAATATTTTTACTGAAGTACAAAAGAAATCACTGTAATGAATAGAAGAAGTACATGATTGTATTGTTTTCTCTCTTCCATGTTGACCTCATACATGCATGGACACCTTGGTATGGGGATACTCATGTACATGTATTTTGTTGTACTTGTGGCTACTTGCAACTTGCAAGTACGAAAAAGGCACAATTTCCCGAACTTTGAGGCTCCATAAGTACAGGGTTAAGTACAACAAAGTGAATATAATATCCCCGGGTGCCAAAGCATAATATGTGCTGGAATACTCCATCTCTGCAGTAGTGCATTTGTACTTGCATGAATCTGTAGCCTTACACAGTGTGTAGTATGTCAGGAATGACCGCATGACTAACTCCAGTGTGCATTGATACCCTTTGCCACTGGCTCCAGTACGGTGGGTCAGTTTTCAGTCATTCACCAATCAATGCATTTGTCACGGCTACCGCACTCTTTTGTTTTCCCGCACCTGTCACTGCACTGCCCTTCCTCCGTGACCCGGAGCTGTTGCGAGCGCTCATGTTTCCTTTGCGTCTCCTTCGGAGCGCTTTCCTGCTCTCCGTATCTCTTTGCATCGCTGCACTTTGGCTGGCGCTGCTGGCAAGCAGCTCCTTTATATTCACATGTTCAGTGCTTTATTTGTTAGTTTTTGAGATTTAGAGTTTGTTTGTTAGAGTTGCTTTATTTAGAGATGTGGAGTTAGACCTACGAGAGTTAGAGTCAGTCTAGAGTTTGCCCGCGCTGCTTGTAATTGTTTTTCGCAGCTCAGAGTTTTGCTTGTATTTTCAGAGTTTCGTGGTTCACAGATGTGCCTCGTTCTTCACAGTATATCAGTTTGTTCTCAACAGTGAGATTCAGTACCAGAGTGTAACATTATGCAGGGATGAATTTAGTGTCAAATTTTTGCATAGCAGTTTCTGCTATACGAAATCACAATTGTGTAGCAGTCAGTTTGATTTTGATTAGCATTATTCTTTGAAGGTTGGGTGTTTACCACATTGTCCTTCTTGATAGTGATGCCTGAAAGCCCATTTGCAAAAAAACCCGACTGAGGCCTCCATGTGCACGCAGATTGAGAGTACCTGCACCACATACACTGCACTGTATGCATGTTACTTAACAGCGCAGGCTAGGCATGGACAGCTTGTATCAGGGAGTAGTACGGTATTGTACTACTCCCTGGCTTGTATGTATCGCAATTTCCTGCTAGTCACGGTGACTTTTGAGTAGCAGTAGATCGATTTTGCATCGCAAACTGCGATGCGATACAGGATAAATTCATCCCTGTTATGAGAATTTTACGAGCATAATGCGAGAATCCATGAAAGCATAATTCCTTGATTTCGCGAGCATAATCCGCCGGAGCCTACCATGGAAACGAGATCAGGAAATCGGCGATATGGCAAGTAATTAGTTAGTTTCCCTTGCCGTACGCGAGCGAGAGATATACCGTCGGAACCGATATCCAATTGTCTTTCATCTGAGCCCTACAGGCCTACTTGAAAAATCGATGCACTTCCCCGTTAGAGTTAGCACTTCGAAAAAAAGAAGAAGAAGAGGACCGTAGATCTACACTCAATTACTTACTTGTCTTAAGTCAAGGGGAGCTGATCACTTTTGCCAGACCTGAAACTCGCATAAGTCACAACGGTTACCATGGTTACTTGCGTGATGGGTTCTGACCTTCGTCTTGCGCCAGGACTAGGCAGCAGTGCAGCCGCTACTAACTTTTACATCTTCCCTCCTCCGTGTGTCACTGAGTGGTTCCACGAGGACAGGTATGGTAGCAGTTGTGAACCTGCTCCACACTACAAGTCATGTAGGCATAGTTTGATCCTGTTGTTCAGTTAGCCCAGCAAGCCTCGACACTCTGAACCGTGTAATAGTGAATACTCAAGTTCTGTAATCTTACACTGCGACAATGGTTGTCATTGCAGGACCTAGGCGGAACTCTTTTGCAGATCTACTATGCGTGTAGCATGCTGCACTGCATGCTACACTGCATGCTGCACTGCAGCATTGGCAATACAGGTACGAAGTTAGGTGTCGCTGTAAAATACATGACCGTGTGATTGAAGTACATTGAAGTAGCATTAATTTTATCATAATCTAGGGGGCACAACATTTTTATGACCACGATTCATGATTGTGTAGTGTTTCCTGGACTTGCGACAAGCACAATGCACTTCTTTTTTTGCTACTACTAGCATGCCAGGATATCCAGACAAACCCGGTGTGTAGGTAAATGATGCATACCGGTACAGAAGGGCGGTACGTTGTAAAGTCCGCAGGCAAATAGCTTGATTGCGATAAAACTGTACAATACCGCCGCCGGTATTACAGACTACCCGTAACTCTGTATAGGGCAGCACCAAGAGTAATTTACTCTTAAAGGGGAAGGTAAGGCAAAAATCAAAATCTCACCAGTTGTAGTCTTTGGGGTGCTGAGTCGAATGGTCTTGGTCCGAGAAAGATGAGACGCTCCCTTCCTACTTGAATCCCAATCGAACTCGCGATTGGCCCATATGTTGTAGTCTTTTGGACGCTGAGTCGACTGGTTTTGGTCCGAAAAGGCTGCGATGCAGCGTTCCTCCTTTATTCCCAATCGAACATGGTTGAACAAGTGGTCACGTGCTCCTGGGTGCCCAAATCACCTGGTCACCACGCCAGCAGGCGACAACTTTCACACCAAGGTTCAACTCGAGTGACAGGACTGCACCCCAAAAAGGTCAAACAGGCTAGTAAGTTGTACCCTGCAGGCACGGTGACCAGGTGACTGGTGTACGCAGGAGCACGTGACCGCTTGTTCAACCATGTTCGATTAGGAATAAAGGAGGAACGCTGCATCGCAGCCTTTTCGGACCAAAACCAGTCGACTCAGCGTCCAAAAGACTACAACATATGGGCCAATCGCGGTCATCCGTGCTTTTATAAGAACGAAATGGCGCTTTTAGTGACATTTTGCATACAAATCCCCATCTCGTGGGGCGCAGTCACCCAGTTTCGGTGGAAGTGCGCGAGTTCGATTGGGATTTAAGTAGGAAGGGAGCGTCTCAGCTTCCTCGGACCACAACCATTCGACTCAGCACCCCGAATACTACAACTGGTGAAATTTTGATTTTTGCCTTAACTTCCCCTTTAATGCTACCCTATTTCGGGCATACATGCGGCGCCCATCTGGCTGCGAGCTTGTACGTGACGTGATGTTTGGTGTTGCGGATGGTAAGAGAAAGCGTGGTTGTCCGAAGATTTCCTTTGCTGACAATATCGTTTCGTGGACTGGTATGTCTCTGCATGAGAATTGCCAGTTGGCATCTGACAGAGATGGCTGGCAGTCACACTGTGCATCTACTGCTTACACAGCTGCATAATGCCGTTTATTATTATTATTATTTTTTTTACTATTATTATTTTTTCGGCAACGCAGATGATGATACAGATGTAGCATAGGGTTTTATTCCCGTAGCTATGCAGAAGACGTTACTTCAGTAACGTCTGGCGCTAGCCAGGGTCCACACAGCTTTAATTTGTTATTTGTGTGTTTGTGTGTTTGTTTGTTTGTGTCACGCCTGGCGCTATCCGTATCTGACGGCAAAAAAGCATAGGATGTTATAAATTTTTCAATTCTCCTTTTTTTTCAGCCATATCCTGGGATTCGAACCCGCACTATCGCCCTACATGCATTCCCCCATACACTTCGCATTCATACCCATTCTTCCAAGTTGCTTTACGTTATTATCTTGCGTGTGAAAGCCCTATTTGAATATTGCGGGCAGCTGTATGTGGCCAGCTGTGTTTGATGGTACGGTACGGTACGGGAGACGGTGTCGTATTACCCTCGATCGTACCTGTCCCGTACCTATCCCCTACCGTACCGTGCCATCAAAGACGGCTGGCCACAATGCATATTCAAATAGGGCTTTCAAATGCAAGATCACAATGTGAAACAACTTGGAAGAATTAGTCACGGTGTGATGTATGCGAAGTGTATCGGGGGATGCATGCAGGGCGCGCGATAGTGCGGGTTCGAATCCCAGGTTATGTCTTAAAAAAAAAAGGAATTTTTTAAAGAATATATAACATCCCTATGCTTTTTTTTGTCTAGGTCATCAAGGCAAAAAAGCATAGCGTAGGGCCCTGAGCTTCCAAGCTCTCTCGTTAGAACACAACGCAAAAGAACGCGAGCAATTGTAGGCAGAGGCATTTACCGTATTTTCTCTAATAAAAGCCCAGGTCTCCAATAATGACCTGAGGTGAGGGTGGTTTGAAATAATAAGAGCACAGTCTCTAATGGTAGCGCGGGTCACAATTGGAGTATGCAACAAGTATATTGACTGCATATAAAACAGCAGTACAACATGCCAAGAACATATTTGTAAGGAGGTTTTCGGTGTACTGGTTCCTTCCTGGCACCAATGCTATTGTGAAACATCTGTTTTGACAATATTCCTGAGTTTAGGGTTGAAAAATCAGTCTTGATAATTATGGTCAGTTTATGCCTGTATAGACTGGAGTTGGCTTGATAGTTGGCAATTGAAAAAATAAGAGCTCAGTCTCCAATAATAGCCCAGTCTCTAATAGTAGCGCGGGTAGAGCTGTCACTGAAAAAATAAGAACCCCGGGCTCTTATTAGAGAAAATACGGTATATAGAACACAAGAAGTGCTCCACGGTTCTCCGCTGAAGAATGTCACAAGGAAATGTTCTGTTATCATATTATTGATCATACGATGTTGCTCTGTGTGTTGGAATGACGGAACAGCAACATGTATTATTCTTTTCATAGCGTCACACGCAGCTCGGGTGAACAACAATAAACACGAGCGACTTACTACCCTATGCACTATACGGGGGTGTACCAAGCCTGGCTTTACACTCAGTGCTGTACAGTCACTGTCCAGACAAATCACCTGTGGTTCTACTATTCACGGCTGCATATGGCATGCACAACCAATCACATAGACCAGAGAGATGCGATTTAACATCCGGACGTGTATCATCTGGATTCAACACACCGTATGGCATAATCAAAGTTGAAAAGGACAAGGAGAAATAGCGTATGCATTTCGAAAGATGTTACAATACAGTCATGCTGCTATTTGTGACCATGGTCGTGGTGTGATACGTTATCTGTATGCATTTATGCAATTTAAATAGCCTATGTGTTACTACATGTAGTACCCAAAAATCCCTTAGTACAGGCATCATACATTTGTACTGGATAGCAAATGAAAATTACAAAGATTTTTTAAAGAACCTTTGTCCTTCTATTAAGAAACAAACTGTCAAATAACAAGCTACAACAATAGTCAAGCTCAGTTAAAAATCGTAAGTGCCAGTGCCAGCAATGTAACCACTTCTGAAGTACTCACAGCCACTGAATGTGTTTTAAAAGTGAATACTATTGTAATACCATGTCTCAAAAGCATAACATCTCACTATTTACTGCATGGTCGTCACAGTTGTTCGTCTAGATGATCCTTTATTCAAAACAGATCAAACAAATATTGAATTTCTGACTCGTTTCTAAATGATAAAACATTATAATTGAATATCTACTACAAGTTGTACTAGTACCATGATCTATGATAGGCGGCAGTAGCTATAACACTGGATTCTGTACCATGTACCATCTTCTTGTAGTGTACCTTCAATCTGGGTGCACTATGATCCATGGTGGATGACGGCCGCACGTCTGAGGTGCCACTGCAAGCGGAGACTGGACTTCGGAAGTAATAGTTCCAATGCCAACCAGCTGCATACAACGGTGAGGACAGCCGATTCTCTAGAATTCAAATTGCTGAATCTATTGCAGACGTTACTGTAGGTATAAAATTAATAGTAGCTTCTATAAATCTGTCATCTGGTAAACTGTGTCCACGCTAACACCTCAGCGACTCGTACTGGCCGTCACTCTCATTGACTGCTGGCATATTACTACTATGTGCTTGTGTCCCAGGCGGTCCAAACGGCTTCTTAGTTTCATCGTATGATGTTGTTAGCGAAACACTGTGAGGCAGGGCAGGCTGATCCAGTCCGTCCATGGCCGCTGCATGTGAATAGCTGGGATTGGTGAACTCAACAGGGGCACCTCGTCGCTGAACCTTACCCTTCGGTGTCATCACCAGTTTACTGTATGCAGTAGATCAGAATATATACAGAAGCAATGTTTAGAATGTAGACACAACCTACTGGACAGCAATGCATCCCCCAGTCCTGGACAATCATGTAGCACGGACAGGTAGATGCCACGGGAGAAGTACCTCTTTATCATTTTGTTTTGTTTCAAACGCCCTTTCAGCCCGAAAGCTGTTGCCAGGTAAGTTTGTTTAGGTGCCCTGTCTGTGCAGGACCAGCGGAAGCAGTTTCTGATTGGTTCGACCATACCATATAGTCCTTTACACTTTGTGTATGATATGGCGGGTACACATGACCTCTTCCTCAGTAGAGAACACACGTTGGTGACCAAACAGTTGTTCCGGTGGCCATGGCCTGACCAGTGGGATCAGTTTCTGCAGCCCCTGTTCAACGGTGACAGGACTGCATGGTCACATGTCCAAATCAACCATCTTCAGAAAAAGAGGAAGAGTTCTTTTGTGCATCTCTCTTCGGGCGCCTGTAAGAAAGGCAATTGCCTGTGTTATACGCCCAAGTAAAGGGTTAAAAGAGTGGCTATTGTTGTTGTTGTTGTTGTTGGTGGTGGTGGTGGTGGTGTTATTCTGCCTGGCCCCAGTGCAGCATGACACTGCACATCACAAGTGCCATGCACGCACTTAGCCCAGGACACACACATCCACTGGACGTGCCATGCACGCACTTAGCCCAGGACACACACATCCACTGGACACGCATCATATCCTGCTGTGCGAACCGCAGCATTGCATGGGAAGTGAATTCCAGACCGATGTACAGGCTGTCAGAGCCACTACGCAACTTTGCTAACATCATGTCAAGCATGACATTGTATAAGTTTGGACATCACACCACGATCAGGCCCGGCAAAACTCCAAGAGAGCTCAATGCCATAGAGGAAGAGCTGTCAACTCTCATGCTATCTCAGTCAATCATAACGGGTGGTATGATTGAAGTCAATCGAAGTCATGAAGTTTTTGGTTCCGGTCAAAGTAGATAGACAGATTGATAGATGGATAGATAGATAGATAAATGGAGAGAAAGCCGTCGGAACAGCAGCAGCAGCAGATTGGCCTTCGGTGCTGCAAGTGCTATCGCCACTTCTGCGGCAACTGCAGTGATTCCTTGTAATCAAAATTTTAATAGGTTAGTTCTAATACTGGGTATTAGAACAAGATGTGACCGGAAGCAAAGAGACAAGTAAAAGTTATTTCGATCCCTAGACCTGCTATAGCCCCTAGACCCACTATAGCCCCTAGACCCGCTATACGGTTAGATGCCTATACCTGCTATAGCCCCTAGACCTGCCATAGCCCCTAGACCTGCTATAGCCCCTAGACCTGGTATACGGTGCTTACCCAGTTCTTTGGCGTCGATACAAAATTAGAATAACCAGGACGAGTATGACAATCACCACGCCCAGACCAGCCACAACACCAGCTATCAGCCCTACGTTGCTTCCTGATGAGTCATTGGACTGACCTGCAGGGATAGGTGGCCACAGTGCATACACCCATGCCACAACAGCAGCAGCAGCAGCAGCAGCAGCAGTGACAGCAGCAGTAGTGGCAGCAGCAGCAGCAGTGGCAACAGCAGCAGCAGCAGTGGCAGCAGCAGCAGCAGCAGTGGCAGCAGCAGCAGCAGCAGCAGTGGCAGCAGCAGTAGTGGCAGCAGCAGTAGTGGCAGCAGCAGCAGCAGTGGCAGCAGCAGTAGTGGCAGCAGCAGCAGCAGTGGCAGCAGCAGTAGTGGCAGCAGCAGTGACGGCAGCAGCAGTGGCAGCAGCAGCAGCAGGGAACCGAACATAATCAGGACTTGTGGTGTGTGTGTTATTGTCAAGTCACTTTTTATAGCTCTATCATATTTATTCATCAAGAACGGCCTAGACTATAACTCTGACCCCCCCCCCCCCCCCCGCGCCCCCCCCCCCCCCCCCTCCTTGTTCAGCACCCGGCAGTCTGACTGTAGTATACGGGTTATAAGTCAACCCCAACCCCTTTTGGAACCTCAAACGTTCGTTCTTCAGTCAGCCTACCAACACAGCTTTCTACTTCGTGGACACTTTGTAAGAAGGAGTTTGTGGAGGAGGCATGTTAACTCACAAAGAGCAGCACTCTATTGACTCAAGTCGCAAAACAAAACAGTGTGGCTGAAACTGGTTTTGTGAAGTGCAGATCTGAAAAGCATACCAGGACAAGTTCCAGTGCGACTTTCCCTGGAGTGCATCAACTGACTGCAATCAACTGACTGCAATGGTGCACTAGCTGGATGGCGTAAACTCCACGCGTGTGTGAACTCAAGTGCGCTATACATGGCACACCACATGCGAGTTAATGCATTTCTTGACATACACATTACTGGATGTACATGTAGGTCGAATCCTGGTTGTAAGTTCACAGCCCCATTATTGGCTTCTATTTTTGATGCATGAAAGGTCGAGATATATATTCATAACCGGTGAAATGTAGTACACTTTATACATCACACAGGAATGATAAGACATGACATGTTGTCGGGGATTGCACCAACAGAGCTTGTTCACATCTTTGTCATGTGGTCATATCTCCAAAGAAACTATATACCGTAAAGTCGCGAATAAAAGCCGGGCTTAAAATATCAGTGGTACATATAAGCATGGTTTTCATACAAGCCTGGTTTGCATTAAAGCCTGATGCAGAAAGCGGCTTATATGCTTATTAGGCTGCATTCACACACGGTACAAAAATTCGCGTTTACTTGACCGTACAAGCCACTTGCAACGCCTGTGCATTCACACAGTCAAATGCAGCGCATGCCAAACACGTAAAGTGACCCGCGTGACCCATGGCGAAGAGCGGGAATTTTGATTTCTGCATGAGCTGAGCGCACCGGCTAGGTACAGTGCGGCACTTGGCTCAACATTTCAAAAATACTATTTCTTGGTCCGCTAGTATGATCTCGGTGGAACGGCTCCACAACTGGTGTAATCCTCTGAGTGTGCTGGAGTTGTAAACGATCGCGGCCGTGTATATCATTTCCTGATCACCTCCGGATAGCTGCTTTGCGCACAGATTCAGCTCATCTGCAATCCTCTTCTCGGCAACAGCTCTTTTCATCATAGTTCCACTTTGCTGGTATTTTCTCCATAGACTATAGTTCTATCAGCCGTAGCTCCACCTCGGCAGAAAAGACAACTCGAGGCATGGTACGGACTCTCCAAAAACTAACAAAAACTCTGCGCACTCAACACACCAAACCACTCGTTTCGACTTGCCTGAAAACTAAAAGTCGAAATCCGCTTTCAAAGCCGCCTTCAAAGCCGCTCCGGGATGGCTTTGAACTTTGATGTGATTTTTCACTTTTCGCGCATGTTTCCATGCCCACTTCAAAGAACATGATGCTTGTATGCGGTTTTGTACCGTGTGTGAATGGGGCCTAAGTTAATATATATAAAAATTATAAGCATATAAGCCGCTTTCTGCATCAGGCTTTAATGCAAACCAGGCTTGTATGCAAACCATGCTTATATGCACCACTGATATTTTGTGCCAGGTTTGTACGCACGCTTCTACGCGCGACACGCGTAGATCTACCACTAACTACCGGTATGGCGGCAGTTTTACTATGCACCGTACATAGCGCATGCACTCTTGACCTACCCGATCCGTGCTTGCATAGAAGCCAGGCTTCTACGCGCGACATACTTATATGCATTTGACCCGTTTGATTTCCAGGCTTCTATCCGCGATGTGCTTGTATGCAAACCCGGCTTTTATCCACGACTTTACGGTATGGCATGTGAACAGTGGAACCAACCTGGCTGATATAACATGACCCATTTGTGCAACCTTTGCTTGTCTGAAGTTGGAACCAACATGCCCATCTGGTCATGCAACAAATATAACATCTCTACTGTGGTTGGCACAGCACCAAGACGTCGCATGAAGACTTTGCTTTTGTTCTAGTGCACGGTTGACAACTTTGCTTCCGCTCGAGTATGCTGTTACAGACGTTGCTACTGTTCTTGTGTGCTGTTGGTTCAAAATGTGTCATGCGTGGTGACACTATTGCATATTAGGTGGTACACTGGGCACATTTCACAATGGGAAGGATACTGAGAGCAGCAGCTGGGATGAGTCAATGTTCACATGGTGTGTATGTGTGTGTGTGTGGCACATGTGTCATATAGTATGTCAGCACATAGTACAATGGCATGGACAGGAGAATCTTGCTTACTTGCTGATTCTTTCCTCTTTTCATCCTGGATGGCACTGTATATGGCGTCGGCAGCTTCGGCATGATTGTACACACGATCTAGTATTCCACTGAACGACTCGCCTTCCAGTCTGGGTCCAGTGAAGCCTACAAACCGATCAGCATACGTGCTGTACTTTCCATTGTTGAGGGAGATGATAAATGCCCGGACATCAGTGTCCGTCCACTGGGAAATGCCTGGTAGGATTAGAATGTAACACAAGACTTCATCATAACAGCACACGAGGAATTTCCAAACTTACCAGATGTATAACACGGAGAACACAAGAAAAGAGGAAGAGGAGGTGAAATATTATGACTTTAGAAGTGTATGTGTGTGTGTGTGTGTGTGTGTGTGTGTGTGTGTGTGTGTGTGTGTGTGTGTGTGTGTGTGTGTGTGTGTGTGTGTGTGTGTGTGTGTGTGTGTGTGTGTGTGTGTGTGTGTGTGTGTGTGTGTGTGTGTGTGTGTGTGTGTGTGTGTGTGTGTGTGTGTGTGTGTGTGTGTGTGTGTGTGTGTGTGTGTGTGTGTGTGTGTGTGTGTGTGTGTGTGTGTGTGTGTGTGTGTGTGTGTGTGTGTGTGTGTGTGTGTGTGTGTGTGTGTGTGTGTGTGTGTGTGTGTGTGTGTGTGTGTGTGTGTGTGTGTGTGTGTGTGTGTGTGTGTGTGTGTGTGTGTGTGTGTGTGTGTGTGTGTGTGTGTGTGTGTGTGTGTGTGTGTGTGTGTGTGTGTGTGTGTGTGTGTGTGTGTGTGTGTGTGTGTGTGTGTGTGTGTGTGTGTGTGTGTGTGTGTGTGTGTGTGTGTGTGTGTGTGTGTGTGTGTGTGTGTGTGTGTGTGTGTGTGTGTGTGTGTGTGTGTGTGTGTGTGTGTGTGTGTGTGTGTGTGTGTGTGTGTGTGTGTGTGTGTGTGTGTGTGTGTGTGTGTGTGTGTGTGTGTGTGTGTGTGTGTGTGTGTGTGTGTGTGTGTGTGTGTGTGTGTGTGTGTGTGTGTGTGTGTGTGTGTGTGTGTGTGTGTGTGTGTGTGTGTGTGTGTGTGTGTGTGTGTGTGTGTGTGTGTGTGTGTGTGTGTGTGTGTGTGTGTGTGTGTGTGTGTGTGTGTGTGTGTGTGTGTGTGTGTGTGTGTGTGTGTGTGTGTGTGTGTGTGTGTGTGTGTGTGTGTGTGTGTGTGTGTGTGTGTGTGTGTGTGTGTGTGTGTGTGTGTGTGTGTGTGTGTGTGTGTGTGTGTGTGTGTGTGTGTGTGTGTGTGTGTGTGTGTGTGTGTGTGTGTGTGTGTGTGTGTGTGTGTGTGTGTGTGTGTGTGTGTGTGTGTGTGTGTGTGTGTGTGTGTGTGTGTGTGTGTGTGTGTGTGTGTGTGTGTGTGTGTGTGTGTGTGTGTGTGTGTGTGTGTGTGTGTGTGTGTGTGTGTGTGTGTGTGTGTGTGTGTGTGTGTGTGTGTGTGTGTGTGTGTGTGTGTGTGTGTGTGTGTGTGTGTGTGTGTGCAACTGTGCATGCATGGTGCCCTCTGATTAGTGGAATCCAAGTCAGTCTGTGAGACTGGTAATAGCGCACAGCATTCTGGCAGTAGGAGTGACTTACCAGCTGGGAAATATTGGAACTTTGGCATTTAGGCAGTTTGTAATGCAGTGTCATGGAAATCCCATAAGAATCTAAGTTACCTATTTGTCATTAACATGTTCAATACAAAATCTTCTCCAAGGGAAAAGAGTCTAAAAATGTAGATTTTACGGCCATGCCATGCGCACACTCACTGTACATGCTACAAAGAACCAGTGGAGTAGACGGAGTGGTTCATGGCATGCCCTGGAATCTGGATAATAATAACGTTAGCGGCAATGTGTAAAAAACAGCATTTTGACCACTGTGTAGGGCTGATTCGCGGCATGTACGTGTATAGCCTAGATAGCTGACAACCACTTTGAATGCACCCGGCCTCTACGCCTCTGGGAACTCACCCTTCTCGAAGAATGGAATAGTTGTTGATTGTTCCTCTGGACGCTGAGTTGTTTCTTCAGGGGGTGCTGTGGTGGACAGCGATTCTTCTGTTTGCTGTGTTTCTATGGGTGCTGTAGCTGACTGGCTAGTCAGAGCTTCTGTTGTACCTGCTCCGGTTGTGGCTTCTCCAGTTGTGGCTTCTCCCGTTATTGCTAATTCTGTTGTGGCTGACTCGGTGGTAGCCGCCCCTGTTGTGCCTGCCACTGGTGTGGTTGTGTCGGTTGTGGCTGCACTGGTAGTGACTGCTCCAGTGGTGACTGCACCAGTGGTGACTGCACCAGTAGTGACTGCTCCAGTGGTGGCTGCACCAGTGGTGGCTGCACCAGTGGTGACTGCTCCAGTGGTGACTGCACTGGTAGTTGCTGCTCCAGTGGTGACTGCTCCAGTGGTGACTGCTCCAGTGGTGACTGCACCAGTGGTGACTGCACCAGTGGTGGCGGCTGGGGTGGTGACTGCTCCAGTGGTCACTGCTGGGGTAGTGGCTGCTGATACTGCTGTTGTGGCTACTGTTGCTATGGGCTCCGCTGATGTTGGTGCAGCTGTAGTTCCTGTCCCTGTTGTGTCCACTTCTGATGTATCTACAAGCACCGTGGTTGGCTGTGCAGTTGGCTGTGCAGTTGGCTGTGCAGTTGGCTGTGCAGTTGGCTGTGCAGTTGTTGCAGGGGTTGTAGTTACAACTGTAGTTGGCATTGATGTCGTCTCTTGGCTTGTAGGTTGCAGGGCTGTACTCGCTGCTGTACTCGCTGCTGATATCGTTGTTGTTGTTGCGGCAGATTGTAAAGACATAGTAGTAACAGCATCATGTGTAGTCTGTACAAGCTGCTGCTGTGTTGTTGTCACTGTTTGGCCTGTGCTCGGCGTGGCTACTTTGCTTGTTTGAGCGGTTGTCTTCATCTCAACTGTTGATGGTGTGTATGCAGTTGTCACTTGGATCTGCTGTGATGTAGAAGGTCGTGGCTCAGTGGGACGTGTGGTTGCAACTGACATTGGGGGAGATGACTGATCGGCTGAAGTAAGGACCGCTGTTGAACTTGCAGAGGTTGGACTTGCAGAGGTTGAACTTGCAGAGGTTGGACTTGCAGAGGTTGAACTTGCAGAGGTTGAACTTGCAGAGGTTGAACTTGCAGAGGTTGGACTTGCTGATGTAACAGGAACAGGAGAAGTTGTCAGTCGTGAGGATGAGGATGTGGAAGGAGCTGCAAAAGAACTTGTCGGAGGACCAGGTTCAGTCGGTATGGTGGTGATTGCCTGAGTTGTCGGGCTGGATGTTGTTGGTGTTGTTTGTAGTGCAGTTGTACCTTGTGGCTCTGTTGGACGTGTACTGACTGTAGCTGGAGCTGAGCTGTATGGTTGGCTCTGCGACATCGTTGTAAGTGTAGTTGATGAAGGCTGGCTGGCAGTCACACTTGAGGTAACTTGCGCCACTGTGGATGGCGTGCTGCTGTAGGAAGAGCTTGTCGACGGTTGAGGTTCAGTTGGTATGGTGGTCGGTGTGGTGGTTGGTGTAGTGGTTGGTGTGGTGGTCGGTGTGGTAGTTGGTGTGGTGGTTGGTGTGGTGGTTGGTGTGGTGGTCGGTGTGGTGGTCGGTGTGGTGGTTGGTGTGGTGGTTGGTGTAGTGGTTGGTGTGGTGGTTGGTGTGGTGGTTGGTGTGGTGGTTGGTGTGGTGGTTGGTGTGGTGGTTGGTGTGGTGGTTGGTGTGGTGGTCAGTGTGGTGGTTGGTGTGGTGGTTGGTGTGGTGTTTGGTGTAGTGGTTGGTGTGGTGGTTGGTGTGGTGGTTGGTGTAGTGGTTGGTGTGGTGGTTGGTGTGGTGGTTGGTGTAGTTGTTGGTGTGGTGGTTGGAATAGTAGTTGTGGTAGTGGTTGGTGTGGTGGTTGGAATAGTAGTTGTGGTAGTGGTTGGTGTGGTGGTCGGTATGGTGGTTGGTATGGTGGTTGGTATGGTGGTTGGTGTGGTGGTCGGTGTGGTGGTTGGCGTGGTGGTTGGTGTGGTGGTCGGTGTGGTGGTCGGTGTGGTGGTCGGTGTGGTGGTCGGTGTGGTGGTCGGTGTGGTGGTCGGTGTGGTGGTCACAATCAATGTTGTAAGTCCTGTAGTTGGTTGCGGTGATCCTGTTGTGATCTGGCTAACATTACAATAGGCAGGTAATGCTTGTGTTATGGTAGACAAGTAAAGCTGGTCAGGGAACCTACTGCTGACAGTGTTAACTGCAACACTGGGCACGGAAACACCTGCAGTGGTGCAATGCACAGAACAAGCACAAGTGCAATGTTTAACACTCACGACGGCCGCTAACACCCGGAAAATCCAGCAGGAGAATACGTCTCACAGCCAGTGGTACAAGTGCTGAAAACCCTAGTAGCCGCATTCACATACCCCTTGGTCTAGCCACGAGTTCCCAGTTGACTGCGGTTAGCAGCATGGCTAGAAAAACCATTGCCAGGCAGGACTTGAACCAGGCACGTCTTTCATCTCAATTGTGGTCTTAGACCAACCCACTGTGCCCGCCTGGCTCCACTGTTCTATGTAGCATAAACGAATGGAGATAGTGGCATAACAGTTTCCTAGCTGGGTATCTAAACTAGACCTTTTCTTATCCAACCATCCATAAAAATACCAGAGATGAAGCTGCAGGAAGTGTCCAGCCTGTTTGTTCATTAATCTTACCGACAGCATTTTAGCCTGTTTGCTCATTAATCTTACCGACAGCATTTTAGCCTGTTTGTTCATTAATCTTACCGACAGCATTTTAGCCTGTTTGTTCATTAATCTTACCGACAGCATTTTAGCCTGTTTGTTCATTAATCTTACCGACAGCATTTTAGCCTGTTTGTTCATTAATCTTACCGACAGCATTTTAGCCTGTTTGTTCATTAATCTTACCGACAGCATTTTAGCCTGTTTGTTCATTAATCTTACCGACAGCATTTTAGCAGCACGTCCTAGTACATGTAGTAGGGTACTCTAATTTCAGAAATTTTAGGTGCTCAATATTTTCGGTATGAGAGCAAAAGGCCAGGTTAGGTGAACGGAAATTGTAGGTACAGAGAAGCAGTTGCCTATTGGATTATGTGTGTCAGTGTTTGTTCGGTGCATTGAAATTTTAGGTATGAAACCGATGCACCGAAAGTACTGAAAATAAAAGTATACCGAAAATTTGTGAAATGACAGTATGCAAATTTGCATGCATGGCAATGAACAGTACATGCGCTCTACAGGAAGAGGTACAGCTGTGGGTGATCCACTGGCTGACCACCTATCGAAGAGTTGCCCGTAGCGGCTGCACTGTAAAATAACACGAATAATCGAATAGCCGTTATGAAGACAGTACACTATAATTCCTTTCCTGTGAGTTCTGAGTACATGCATAAGTAAACTTTCAGCTTACTTGTTAGGTTGCTGAGAGTAAATTGACCTGTTGCTGTCGATGTTCTCTGGCAGCCGGTGATGTTGTAGGCTGCTGAAAGTGAGATATCCTTTGTGCCAGCTGATTTTGCCAGAATTCCAGTTACAAGTAGACCAAGTTGACCCCCACCAGTGATGCTTGTCAGTGTTGGGTCAGCTGCAAAGTTTAGAATGCCACTTGGTGATACATATATGAACGGACTGTTCTCAAATGAAAGCGTGCCGGACTTGATTTGCTGTAGGCAGCTGACACCAAAGTCATAGTTGCACAGCTGTGAAGCAGTGAAAGATGTTTTGCTACAAAGCGCGTCTTGTGATGTGCTAAATGCTCTGAGTGCCTTGCTCGCATATTGCATTGTACCATTGCTATCCACCATCCCAGTATAGAGATTACTCCTTAGTGTTTGCAATGGAGTGCATGGCCCTTCATAGCTGATCATCAACATATTGCCATTAGCATTCCAATTGGCGCTTCTCTGTATCAAGTCCAGCCGAAGCCTGTTCATACCCGTCATCAAGTTGGCAGTGACGCTAACATTTCCTGGCCAGCTTGTTTCAACATTGATTGCGCTCACAAGCAGATCGTTAATCCACAGGCGAATTGGTTTGCGTGATGATGCAGAAAAGTAGAATGTGTACGTGCCGTTGACAGGCGCACTAAGGAATGCCCAATAACGGACGGCATAGTTGTACGTGAATGACTTGGTGGAGAGTGTGTCAATAGTTCCGGATGCAGTGTACTCTACGGGACCATGGCTGTTGAACTGAGCTGCCCAACCCAGCTGACTCTCTACTTTGGTTAGTGTGGGACGGGCAGCTGGATCATTGAACGATGCAGGGAGGTAATAGCTGGAACTGCCACCTGAAGCAGGGAAATATTGCAGGTACTGGATCACTGGGGTGTTTGTCTGTTCGGGAGGTGAAGTAGTGGCTATTCTGTACTGGAAGTACTCTGCAATTACACCTTGCTGTGGAATGTTGGTGGCCTGGATACGTATTTGCACACTGCTGATTTTGAGTAGAGCTGTTGGTTGTATGGTACCACCTGTCTCCAGTATTACACTGCTGTCACGTGTACCATTCAGTATGCCCTGTTGCCATAGTGTGCTGCCATTCAGTGTAGCCGTCGACCTCTTCAGTGTCATTCTGCCCTGTAGAGTCAGCCTTCCTGATGACCACAGCTTACTGTCCTGCATCACCAGGCTACCGGCAATCATAGCTGTGTCGACAAAGCGTGCCGATGAGTTCTGTACAAGGATGGAGCTACCGGAACTCAGTGCCAGCTGTCTCAGAACTTTCACTGTGCTACCTGACTTGATGTCAATGGTCCAGCCTGATGGAATAATAAATGTAGAAAGTGTTGAAGTGGATTTGCTCTCCAGCGTTATCAGTCCAGCTGTACCTGCCCTGAGACGCCACTGCGTTGCTTCATCCATGGCAAGACTTTCATGGATAGTTACCTTTCTTGCATACATATCTAGGTGGCATCCTCCAATTTGCACTTTCCTGAAATGTGCTGTCTGCGTGCTGGAGCGGAACTGAATAAGGGTAATGGTGTTCAAGCTCCACAGTCGTGGTAATCCAGTAACATTGTTAGTAAGCGTCCATGAATAATAGTGTTCAATCAGCTGTGGCCAGTGACTGAACGGGTTAAGACTGCTGTATGGTATTCCCATGGGGAATCCCCAGAAGTTCCACTTTCCACCACTAGCAACAAATGGAATGGTGGCAGTGTTGATGTACATATATAGATGGTATGTGTTTATGGTGCCGTAGTTCAATATTGATCCGGTATACAAGAATACGCTTATTGTGCTGCTGGCAAGGAACCGCGATGCAAAGTGAATGGTTCCATAGTTGAGGATGTCATTGTAAAGACTGATACTGGATGTGTGGAGAAATGCAATAGTGCCATAGTTGGTAATTCCTTGGCTGTACATGCCTGGTACCAACACATAACTTCCATAAGTATTCCAATAGCGTGTTGCAAATGTCATAGTGGCATCGGCATTGATGATGATATGACATCGCTCACAATAACCAAATGTGACTGACTGGTTCCAAGTGAGGGCATTTCTGCAGGTAAGTGTTACATTGCTGAGGTACCGGTACTGGCTGGATGATGTTGAACTTGCCTCTCTGGATGATGTTGAACTTGCCTCTCCCAGGACAGTCATGGTGTTGAACGTTACAAAGCCACGCTGACTCGATGCCATTGGTCCAGTCATGCGACTGTTTGCGCTCACCCACTTGATATCACCTGCTTGCACGGTGCCATAGATTAGTATGTCTGGACTTCTTAGTACCCATAAGTTTGAGATGTTGACTGATGTGTAATGGTCAATAACCAAGGTTGGCTTACTATTGGGTCCACCAACTTCAAGAGAGTTGACTGTGACTGGAGTCGACGCACTGATTACCACTTTGTAAGATCCTGACAGCGTGATGAATACATTGTCTGTTGAAAGTGGTACTCGCGCTGGCAACCAGTTACTAGCATGATGCCATGAGCCACCATTGGGATTGTTCCAGTAGGCTACTGATGTGGTGCTGGTACCGCCAAACTGTACGTTGCCACTAAGACTCCCCCCTCGGTTGAACAGTGTTGCTGTGAATACAGCAGCTCCCATGCCCGCAGTCTTCTTGATCACTCCACGGTTGATAATAGATGATGGGGCTGTGGCAAAAGTCTGGGAGTACCAGAAGATGTCCTGTTGTATGTCCAATACACCCGTGGCTGCAATGTCTATCAATGATTTGTTGTTGATTAGATTCAAGCTATTCTCTGCCATGACACAGGTTGCCACCTGCAATGGTGTGTAGGCTGTTGATGCATATGTGCGCCAAGTTGGTACTGACGTGCGGTAAAACAGCTTTGATGCAGGGATATTTTGTTTTGGTACACTTGGTCCTTCGTAGCGAAGAAGAATTGGGTTGGAGTAGGAACTGGTGGAAGTGAAGAGTGCCTCAAAGCGAAGGTGAACATAGCCAACAGACAAGGTGACCGATCCTATACTTCTCTCCTGGTTGACACTAGATGTGGAACTAGTAGCCTGAATGAAGTTACTGTTGACCCATAGTCGAGTGTAGGCACTGTAGATGATGGAGAAAAACGTGTATGTACCCGCCGTGTCAATTTTCAAGTATGAGCTCCAGCGTACAGCATAGTTGGATGTGAACGAGGTGGGTGATGATGAGTTGACCAGGATGCCTCCAGCTTGATAATCTTGTGGACTGAGTGAGGTAAATGTTGATGGTCTTGTGATGTCCTTCTCCAAGCGCACTATGTTAGCTTTGATGGTTGTGTCATCAAAGGTGGGATTAATGCAGTAGGATGAGCACGACGATGCTGCTACACATGGTGCACACAACCGAGGGGAAGAAGGAGGCGAACTAGTTACCTGGTTTGCTACGCGATACTGGTAGTACTCGGCGATTACTCCATTTGATGAGTCACCAAACACAGGAGCATAGGACAGCACTAATGTTAGCCCATCCAGTGCCTTCAAGTTCTGGCTAGAAAGTCTGCAGTCCTGAGTCACTCGGACTGAGTCATTTCCCATGTTGCCCACAAGAGAACCACCAGTCCATACCAGCGATCTGTGCACATTCAATAGTGCATCATGGAGCCGCACCACCCCATCCACTCTTAACTGCTGTGTGTCGACGGTTGCATTCTGAACTATCAGGGATGTGTTGGAGTTGATGTAAAGGTCATCCAGAAACTGAACAACTCCTCCGGTTCCTGTGATGTCCAACGACGAGTTTGCACCAAGCACTGTTCGTCCAGCGAAAGAAACATTTGCTACTTGCTGGCAGTTCAGTGCCCAACCAGCTTGCATTTGTAGACTGCCAAACGACACCCGCGTAGCTGATCTCAGCACTGTAAAACTGGCTCCAAGCGATGCTGTGCTCAGATCCAGTAGACTCAGGGCAGGCATAGACACACTTCCACTCACATAGAACGCAACCCCTGGAGAGTTTCTCACTAGGACTGTCACTCTGCCGTATGTCTCGATTTCCCCAAACGTTGTGCCACTCCCAAAGAAGTTTTGAATGTACCAAAAGGTTGTACCGGTCGGATCCCACACGATTGGGTGGCCACTGTAAGCAGCTGCCAAGAACGCTGTCGACCCACCTACATTGTAGTAGTTAGGTGGAGCCGCCATGGAGTTATTCTGTAATGGCTTGCTCCAAATACGATACTTTCCTGAGCCAGCAGAGTATGGTGCTCCTGATCTTGTGCTGGTGCCATACATGTAGTATGTTACCATATAGACATCAACAGTTCCATTGTTGGTCCATTCTCCATGAGCATAGTATGTCCTGGATCCTACAGAAAAACTGTTAGAAGCTAGAACAATTTTACCTTGGTTGGTGACAGTCCAATAGTTGTAGGTACTGCTCGTGCCCACACCGATCTCCATTGTAAAATTGCCATAGTTGTTCATTGTTCCTACACCACTTTGCAAGTATAGATATTGTGATTGCAGGATCAGTGTACCATGGTTGTTCAGTATGCATGCACTGCAGTATAAATACTTTACGAGTTGATAAGATGCCTGCATCAGACCCATGTTGCTAATGGTTAAACCCTGTACATACCGAGAGGACGGTGCTGTTCCCGTTGGTGACTGTGCAAAGAGGAATGTCTTCTGGACAGTCAACACACCACCCTGATTTGTGACTGTTTTACCAATGAGGTATGTTCCAGACCAGGTGAAACGGCTAGTCTGTATTTCACCGTCAATTGTAAGTCGATTTGAATGGACTTCAAGGTGGTCTGTCACAATGAGTTTAGCAAACAGTCCAACATTGAGTTCTGGTTGAGACACACCACTTCCAATCTGTAAGTTTTCTACCTGATATGTCATGCTGCCAAAGGGAAGTAGGATTTGATAATTACCCTCCAACGTTATGAAGACAGAGCTCTTTGGACCAGGTATTCCACTAGGTAGCCAGTTGTTTGGATCCGTCCATGTGCCACCAATTGGGTTTTGCCAAAAGTAGGCACTGCTGTCTGTAGTCGGTGTGCTGAATGCAAACTGACCTAGAATGTTTGTGATGGAACCAGACGCCTTGTTGTTCAGTTGCAGTGTCAGTGAAGCAATGCCACCGCCGGTTTTCAGCAAGTTGCCATAGTTGACCAACTTGGGGAGTTGTGTACCCGACACAAGACTTAGCCACAGGAAATCGGACACAAACTCCAAGTGGCGATTACTCTCTACGGTGACTGTTGCTCCACTTCGTGAGAACATGAGACCTTCGTCAGACATCTGTGTTACATTGGGGGGCAAGGAGAGAAGGGTATTCAGCAAAGCACCTGTTGGGTTGACAGTCAGGGCACTGTCTGGGATGGATTGGTTAGCAAATCCAGGTCCTGAGTAGTAGATTGTGTAAGCATTGTCATTGCTTGCTGCATCCACACTCACAATGAAGTCGACACGAATTAGATGCAGGCCCGCTGTGAGAGTCATCTGGGCTGACGAGTAGCGCAGTATGCTGGAGGATCGACTTTGTGGGTTGATGATGACGTTGTTGTCTAGGGAAAGGCGCATGCTACCGTAGCGATATTCGATGAAGAACTGGTAGTTGCCAGCTGTACTTATACTCAAATAGGACAGCTTGCGTACTGCAAACCTTTCCGTGAATGACCATGGCGAGACGGTGTCAATTGAATTTCCATTAGAGCTGTACATGATTGGTGTCAATCCGATGTCATTTGGAGATTGACCAAGAGACTTACTTGCAAAGTTTATCGTTGGAATTGCAGTGAGGTTATCAAAGTCCTGAGGCAGAGTAGAGCTAGGATAAGAATAACCAAAGAAGTAGAATAGGCTGGTTGTACTGACAAAGGTTGATTTCGGTGTGGGTACCCGGTATTGGAAGATCTGAGTGAGGACCGGCATCGTCTGGCTGAGCGTTGCTGGCCTATTTGCAATGGTCAGTGTGACATTCTGCAGAGTCTTGACAGACTTTCCTGTGATATTGCATGGCCCCAGTGCCATGACATTGCTGTTCTGACCCAGTATTGTACCGCCTTGCCATCGCAACACACCGCGTACAGTGATAGTTGTTGATGACCATGTAGAGTTCATGGTGCCGTAGAGATCCAGGTGGTAGATGGACAGTGAGCTCAGTGACATATTGAGAGATGCGCTTGTCCCAATAGTGACACTAGAAATGCTGACAGGTTTAGGTGGGGCGGCAGTATCATATAGGTACATAGAGCCCTGGCTACGCAAGCGCAGTGAATTGTTGATTGTAGAGTCTGTGGACATGTTCACACGCGATCCATCAGCCACGATCACTTCCGACAGTGTGGAAGTGACCAGTGCTGCATAGACATTAACATTGGTAGCAAGGTAAAGGGACGAATAGGCAACTCCCACTATAGACAGTCGGACACTGACTTGGTTGGAGCTAACCAGTCGTAACTGAACATAACCATTGAGCTTGCAAGATGGTAAATTACCCGTGTATGATGATAGGCTGGAGATCTGTACCAGAATCTGACGACTTCGACTCCACTGATTTGGTAGAGCAGTGGAAAAGATATCAGTGATGTAGGCTTGCCATGATGCCTGGGAGCCTAGTCTTCGTGGCAGTGTGCTTGTGGTGAAGCGAGGGAATGAGTACACCTCTAGACTGCTGTTTGTGTAGTCGCTAGTATAGGTTATGGAGCTGGACATAGTGAAGGTTAGGTGACAGAAGTAGGAGCGTATCCTACCGACTCTCAATAGGGGATTGCTGAAGCCTATTGAGATAGCTGATTGAGATGTGGTCTGGTAGACAAACACCATTTGATTGAAGTTCTGTATGATCAACTGGTAGGTTATGCTGCTGGGACTGGTGGAGGCCATTATGAACATACCCCGGTTGATCAGATGTGGTCGGCTTGCATCAACATCTCCCGATGTGAACCATGACATTGTGTTGGTTAGAAATGTGGCATTCCTCTCATTGATAATCTGACACTCTATGCACGTAGTTCTCAGGCCATTCAGCTCTGGAGCAAATGTGAGATTACCATGGTTTGTTAGAATCACCCTACTGAGGGTTTTGGAATTGGAGTAGCTGACATACATGGAATCACGGACAGTTATCTGGCCCTTTGGAGAGGTAGATGTTGCACTAGTTAGTGCTCCATAGATAGATGTGCCAGAAAACAGGAGTTTGTTGGCGTCCAACAATCCATAGACATAGAGTGTGCGGCTGTAAATGGTGAACGTGTCCAGTACTCTCAAGCTGCCGCCGGACAAAATCTGGTCAAAAGGGAGAAGCACAAATAGTAAAAAAACACACACACACATACCCACACCAATATCACATGACGTACTGGTACCAGGCACGCCTTAGTTTATGCCTTGTACGAGTATAGAAGAACAGCAAGAGGATAGAATTCTTTCTCTGCGTTGATATAAAGTTGGCGTAGACAGGCACGATTTCAGGTAGTACTTCAGGTAGTATTTCAGATAGTAGTATTGTTATGGCTAGAATTGTGAATAGCTCTAAGTTAAAGGTACTGCAAATTGCAAACTAATGGATATAGTCTACCTTGCTGTTTTAGGAGCAGAATACTCTGCATGCAGCCAGCATTGGTATTGTTCTTGGCATGCTATACAGTTCTGCTTCAGAAAGGCAGTCTTATTAAGCCTTCACATACCTGTAGGGTATTTGACTTGTAAGTACTTGTGCCGAGAGTGAGATTGGTGACAGTGACGCTATCCTGTAAGTTAATGGTGAGTGCCCCTGGTTGCGATATGACCACAGTGTCATAGTTAGATGGTTTCCTGTATCAAGGAGAAGGGCAACAAAGCAATCCAATAAAAAAAAATCTTCAATAGCAATTTAAAAAAAGTTTCAATCACTTGGTACATGGTGAACACTGGGGAAGGAGGACAGAATGATACTGGATGTCTCTGATTACACACACAATCCCATCAATTCTAGAATCTGCTACCATGCAAGCCATTTACATCTACAGTTCCATCATCAGAATCCATGTAATCCACTACGCCCAACTCTCCATTGAAAGCAGAATCTGCCTTTCGCATTTGACCTATGCTCTTTCAGAGTCCATGCAGGCCTGCTCCCTGGTTACAACTGAGGTGCACAAGGAGTCGGCCCGGATACCATGGATACGTGATCACCTTACATATCTTGAGTGAACCACAACAAGATCTCAAGACAAATTGTAAATGGTCGATATCTTCTCATTCAAGTCATTCAACAGTTTGGAAGCTTGGTCTAGAATATGAATTGAAACCGTACTACCCATTGGATAATTGCATGAGCCACCATTGGCTTCCATTACTGGCATGCACGTGTGGCACCATACGATTCACATACCAGTAAATGTGCAATCCAGTAGCACAATACAGTCTAAACTGTTTTTTTTGTTTTTGTTTTTCGAGATCGGCCAGCAGCGCATGTGACCATGTGCCAAGTACTGCCGCGCACTGTGGCTACTATATTGGCAGGTGTTAGGACAAAATAGGATAGGAGCAGATCACGTGTTGTACACATGGTTTATTTTCCATTCCAACAGCTGTGATCTGCGCGTGTTGACATCAGTTGGTTTCTGACACTTCAGAAATACTAAGAAAGCTTCTAGTGACACCAAATCTGGCTGAAATACAAATTCATTCTGTATGGATGATTTAAAATAACTAATCATTCTAGGCATGTGCAATTTTGGGTGCTTATCGTTGCAGGCCAAAAGAGCTGTTTTTTTTACACAAGTTGAGAATATCTTTTCACTGTTCTATTCATTACCTGGGTGTCCAGTTGCTCGGATCATCCCAGTCTATTGTACCACCACTACCGCTCCAGAACACCGTGGTTGCTGCATAAAGGTATGGAGTAGCAAAGAGTTAGACACATGCATAGAGCGCATTGTTATACTGCTTGTGGAGTATGCCAATGTTACCATGGTTACTGCTTGTGGATTATGATAATGTTACCATAGTTACTGCTTGTGGAGTATGGTACTGCTACTAATGGTAATAGGCGATTCACACAACGTGTAAATGCACGATAACAGGTTTGTGTAGAAGTGGACAAGCAGCCCATGAGATTCACACACACAATGTACACCAGACCCGTGCAAGTGTTGCATGCATATGTCTACTCTTAGCCTCGATCGAGCATACCACAGTGACGCGCATTTAAGCGCATGTGCCTATATCCGGGCATAAGCGCACCCTCACAAATAAGCGCATCGGCTTATAAAGTGAACCTAAATTCAATTCCATCCCACGACACACAGACACCATGTTCACATAGTTTGGTGTGCACTGCGGTATTTGTTTGGTGTGCACTGCGGTATTGCACATGTACTGTTGTGGACATGGAAATCCGGTCACACGTCTAGCGGCCCCAGGGTGCTGGCCATGCAGCCGTGGATAAGCGGTACACACATGCATTTTATGCGCTGCAGCGCGCTAGTCGCATCCGATCAACATGTGCCCTGCACACAGCGTTCTGTACGCGCTGAGGGCACCGGCCCCGGTCAATCGACCGGATTTCCATGTCCACGACTGTAGTATTTGCATAATTATACAAGGTATCGGTACACTAGCAGCTCAAGTGCATGCGCCTATGTGGGAGACAAAAATGACCCGCAAAAAAATAACAAGAAATGCAAAAACTCACTCATCAGCGCATGTGCCTTTATGTGCGTCACTACGGTACTCAAGTAACTCAAGTACCATACACTAGCCGTTGGAGGTATGTGGTCTGGCTGGAGGGGTGTCCGGGGGTGTCCTCCGCGAAAAATTTGAAATTAGGGTGCAAAATCATGCATTCTGGGCACTTTTTGGCATTGCGTTAAAAAAATGGTCCGGCCAAAGCCGGACCGACCAGACCGGCTGCTACGTACCGGACTAGTACTTTCGCTGGTTTTACTCACGTGCAAAGCACAAACGTGGGCGAGTGGCTCACGGGCAAGTTGAAACAGATTTTGCTCGCGCTTTGATCACATGAGTACATGTATATCTCTATAGATACAGTGCAATACACGTGAGTTTGAGCGTCGTGTGAGTTGCCTATTTAACTATTGCAAGGATCAACTAGTAAGAAACGAATGATGTCCATTTCGGGGACGACAAAAAACCCTCAGTTTGCGGTGACCCTTAAGCCAAGGACCCCAAGCCAAGGACCTTAAGCCAAGGACCCCAAGCCAAGGACCCCAAGCCAAGGACAAGTACACACACAGTATAGTAAAGTGAAATGCAGTCGTGGTGTCACTCAAGTTTGCGCCTTGCATTATTTTGCAGCCCAGTGTTCACAGGTCTAGGGCTGCGCAACACCTGGCGCGGACTTGCGTGATGCGACTGGATTTCATCATGATTGTTATCAAAGATGCCCCACAACGTTGCTGACTTCATCGTGAGTGGCCGGGGGTTAATGGATGCTCAGAGTAAACCCTTCTGTCTATAGCTTGAGCTTACCTGCAGGTGGTGTTGTAGGTGGTGCAGTGGATGCCAGCGGTGTGGTTGCCATGGTGATTGCACTGCCAGTGCCACCAATCGGTGCAGCCGTTGATGAGCCTGTCATCAGGACCATGTCAAAAATTAGCAGAACAAGTAGAAAAGTATCACTTTACTTCGAAAATCAATCCAGACTAGTACACTGCTACCTGTGTCATTTCAGAGGCATGCGAAAGAACTGAAAAGGAAAGAAAAATGAGTACTCTCCCATCAGCTCAAAGCTGAACCATACCTTGACCTCTCATGCAAAAGGAACTGTCACCCAATAAGTTTGCAACTCAGCTTCGTTCTCTTGCATGTGGTCGGATTTCATCGGCTATCACTGATCATTTTAATTAATTGTAGCATATTTGTGGCTGTTTTATCCCAAGGTTAGAAAGCTGAAAGTGCCAACTCTGTAGATACTATCAAGAGTACATAAACACGAGTGCGCAACTCCCGGTTGGTTTGGCCCACGGCGGAATTTTTTGCTCGCCTCACCTTTTCTGGAGATCATGGGTCATGCCGTACGGGGTATGTACTACGAGTCTCTGGCCGCATGAACTCTGCAGGGCTTACTAAATTTGCGCTGCGGGTACTAAAACAAGCTACAAAAGCGGGAGAAAAAGTTCAAATTTTAGTTTTTAAATCGTCAAAAATGCAAACTCGTGATGAATATCGGCGTCCAGCGCATGCTCTGGCCAGCGCGTACTTTGTATAACATGTACGGCATGCGTCATGGATTCTGAAAAAAAGTGGCGTCAATAAAATATTCCGCCATGGACCGGACCAGCTGGAGATTTGCAATTTTGCACACTCTTGCTTATGTGCTCCTGATACTAAGTATCCTTTTGTGCGAACCACGTCACTACGGCGTTCTACAGGTTTCCACGATGCCCCGGCGCTTCGTGAAAGAGCCAAGACTAGCAAGAGCTAACTGCAAAGAATGAAGCTATACTGGTTGGCCCCTGGGTAGTGCTGGGTTCGTTGTGAGGCCACATATCTATTCAGTCGCCGCCGCTCGTAGTGACTTGAGGGTCCGGTCACTGAGCGCAGGGATGCGACAAAATGGCTGAAATCCTTGAAACCAAAGATATCCATCCAAAATTTTCATGTAGAGCCAATGTACACGATATAGCCAGGAATATTGCGGAGCACTTATCATTATTCACTAGTTAGCTTACCATTTACACCAAGCAGCAATGTTCCACTAGTCACATTGATACAGGAACCTGCCTTGGCTGAAAACTGAGCATTCAAGTTCAATTCTCCTGTCCCTGTTGGCCGACTGACCAAGCCATTGACTGTCAAGTTGAGGCGTTGTGATATGCTGCTGCCAGTGCCACTGCTGCTGCTGTACTGCCACGAGCGACTTGTTTGCAGCTCAAGTATACCTTGAGAGGTTATATCCAGACTAGATGTTCCTCTAAACTGCACTGGTCCAGTGCCAGTGACCCGGAGACGTGAGAAGCTGAATGGGAACTTCTGACTGTCCACACCTGCAGAACAGGCACTTGCTGTTGTCAACTTGAGACCCGGTGCAGCTGGTTGTGAGTTACCTATGGGAACAAGGAGTGAATCTGGAATTCTTTGTAGACCTGTGAACGTTGAGTTCCAGTAGAGTTCCAGACCATTGCCACGATATTGCCAATATGTTGACTGTATGATGCAGTCCAGACGCAACAGGTTGAGACCCTTTGACAATGTGACGGTTCCTGCAGTTTGCAAAGGTTGGTAGATACTGCGATAGAAACCGAATGCCGAGCCGGATGTTGTAAGTTTGTTGTTGATCCAGAGTCGTACTTTAGTGCTGTAGCCTCGTTTAAAGAGGAAAGTGTACTGCCCTGGCTGCATAACCGATACATATGTCCACAGTCTCATTGCATAGTTGTATGTGAAAGAACCTGCAGCATTCAGATCAAACTGTGTACTAGACGTGCTTAGCACCAGTGGTGCACGTCCTAGGTAACGTGCTGGCCGTTGGAGCGACTGCTCAAAGCGCCTGATATTAGGCTGCGAGTTTGGATCATCAAATGATGCTGGCAGTCGACTACTAGACGATGAGGTTTCATTGTAGTAGTAGTAGATATTGGACAGCTGTGGAGTAAGCGGTGTCGGCACACGGTATTGGAAATACTCGGCTATGACTCCTGGCACTAGGGGTACGGTGGTTCCAAACGAGGTTCTCGTGAATTGTCTCGGTGCCAGTGTTATGTCAACAGAGTCCAAAGTTTTGCTAATAGAACTAGATAGAGAAATCTCCTTTTGGGCTTGAATGAAGCCTGGTCCTATTATACTGCCACTGCCGAATGACAGCAAGTCTTGGAATGTCACAGATGGTGAATCGATCATTTTCATCGTTCCGCCCTCTACTTGAACTTTCTGGCCGAACGTTGTAGAGGAACTGCCAAGTTCTAAACTGGATGTACTATCCAAACGCACAGGACCATCAAAGAGCGCCGTGGATGTCTGGGTGTCGAGTCTCGATCCTCCTTTCATTGTCAATCCAGACCTAAATAGTGCGCTCTCACCCTTGATTGAGACATTCCAGCCAAAGTCAAGATAAGTCAGGCCAATGGTGTGGTTTGCAGATGCATTACCGTTGACTGAGAGAGCACAAGGCACTCTGACACAGCGCATGGTATCAATTCTGGATGATTCGTCCATGTCTAATACGCCACCTATACTGATACTAACATTGTAGCAATTGGACAGACGTAGATATGCTCCACGCATGCGTAGGGTGTGCATCTTCATAGCGTCATTTCCAACGCTGTAGAATTCCAACATTCCAATGCTACTGTAGATAGTCGTTTCATTGTATGGATTTCGAATATACTCTCTCCACTTTGAAATTTCAAAGTCAGTGGTAGTCGCCTGATAGGCTCCACCGTAAATAGACCAGGTGCCGTTTTCTCCCTGGATCCTGCCATTGCTACGCACTCTTAGCTGCACATTATATGAAGACAGTCTGCCAACATTCTCAAATGCACTGTACAGGTAGGTAGTGTAAGAAGAGCTTGCACGTGGAGGGAAGACATAGAAATCACCAACATTACGCACTTTCCAATACAGGTATTTAGAAGAAGATGACGGAGCATATAGGATGACAGTTCCAAAGTTGATCAAATGATACGTGACTTTTGATCCAGTGGTTTGGAGATACCGCGTTTGGAGTTCTAGCGTGGCATTGAAGAAGTTTGTCAGAATGGCATCGTTCATGTAGATGTAGCTGGTACTGGTGATGCTTGCGTCCTCTGAGATTTTTCCATAGTTCTCAATAGATATGTTCTTGAAGTATTTTCTGGTGTATACTCCTTGCTGCATTAGCAGGGAACCAGTCACCACAAGTTTACTATTTGCAAACGACAATGTGGAGCCCTCAATACTCTCTCCGCTCCATGTTAGGTCCTTTGCTTTCAATATTCCTTGAATGATAAGTCGATCAGTGCGAATGTCCATGCGTCCCGCTATGTTCAGAGTGCAGAAATGATTGATCTGCAGTGTAGGAAAGCTAGATGCTGATCCCAAGACGAGAGAGCTAATGTTGTGAATTCCACCCAGGAGTACTATGGTGTAGTTGCCAGGTAAATTGATGTAGACCGAGTCTGTAGCAGTTGGTACACGACCACTGTTCCAGTTACTAGGAGTTGACCATAGACCTCCAGTGGTGGATGTCCATGACACAAGGCCAGATGCACTACCAACACTTTCAATTGTCAGACTGGAGACATTCCTATCAATGGTTGATGTGCCAGTACCAGTGAAGGTGGTGTAAATATAGGCTGGCCCCGTTGTGCCGGATCGTCGCACAACACCATTGTTTGTGAATGTGCACAGGCTGGAATCTAAGCACTGCCAGATAGCATCTGATTGTACATCAAATACACTATTGCTAGCGATGGTGACAGCAACTGTGTCCTGTGCCAACACCAAGCCATAGCCAGAAAACTTTGCGTCAAACGGGGTCAGTATCACCGATGGCTGACTGTTGTAATATGGCTGTGCCCATTTGCCATTGTACTTAAAGAACACCCTAGAGTCAGGAATGGCTTCTTTGACTGTATCCGACGTTTCCCAGTGTAGTGTGAAGCCATTGCCTCTTGTGTCCCAGTATGTCGATTGCACCATCAGATCCAGTCGTATCTCCCGCATACCTTTTAGGAGTGACACAGATACCATAGTCTGCGTAGAGGTGTAGTAATTTTTATAGAAGCCAGTGTTACCTTTCACAACGCCATCCACCCATAAGCGAGCATTGACACTGTAAGCAGTTTGCAGTGAGAAAGTGTACGTAGTTGAAGTGGGAACATCCAGGAAGAACCACCATCGCGTGGCAAAGTTGTAGGTGAAGGTCATTGGCGAACTGCTGTTGTAACTGTTCTGATTTGAGAGATAATCCAGAGGTGCAAAGCTCTTGTATTGTGGTGGGTGGTTGACAGAGTGTCTGATCTCCACATCATTGTACGCAGCACTAGCCTGGTCAAAGCTCGACGGTAAACAGCTAGTGCAGGACGGGTTAGTCGTAGAAGGAAAAGAGTAGAGGCTCGAGTACTGTGGGTAGAGACTGTTCTTGACACGGAATTGGAAGTACTCCACTAGCACACCCTTGGAAGTTGCTGTTGTGGATGTAATGCTTGTCGGTACTTGTATATTCAGCCTTACATTCTTCATAACCTTGTCCTGGGAACCAGTCATGCTCAGCCCACCACTGGCTGTTATATTAGCAATGTTTCCTGTCACATCGCCCTTATTGTATGACCACCTTTTCAACATGGTTACCTGTGCCTTGCCAAGTTGAAGGTTACCATCACCGCGCAGTCTATCTGAGAATCGAACATTCCCACTCTTGGCCTGCAGCAGGGAGTTGTACTGACCCTGGTAGGAGCCAAAGAATGTAGTATTGATGCTTTCACCCATTACCAGACTAGCATTGCCAGAAACAACCGTGTCTCTAAGAATACTGACCGCTGCAGTATTGGTGAACTGCACACTCCAGCCCTTTTCGATGCTAAGGCTGCCAATTGTAGATGCTTGCTTCGAGCCAATGCGCAGCTCTCCTGGCCGTGCACTGTTCGTGACAAGCTGAATCTCACTGTTAACATCCATTCTGATGAAATCTGTGATTGATACGAGTGAGTATTGACAGGTGTCTGTTCTGAGCTTACATCGTCCAAATGCTTCATAGCTTGTCATTGTCACAGTGCGTGTTGCCCTACTAGTTCCATAGAGGCTCTTGATATACACTGAACCACCCAGGGTGTTGACATCATTACCAAGGCTTCCTGTGAAGAGATCTGCAAGATACTCCTCCCACATATCATACGTCCTTGCTCCCCTTGCTGACGAGAGAGATGTAGCCCTGACAGGCCAGGAGTATGAACGTACACTTCCCAGATGAGAATCACGTGCAGTGTAGGAGAGAGTTAGTTGGACCATGTAGATGTCAAGTGTTCCACCCTGTCCGTTGAACGTGTTACTACTCAGCTGCCAACTGGAAGTCGAGGTTGGGTATTTCCCTATTGCCTTGATGTTGCCAGTGTTGTAGACGTCAATGGTCCATGTAGTCGAGCTCGACTGGACCTGCACAATAACTGTACCGTAGTTGATGAGACCTGGTGATGAACATAGTTGACTTCCGGGGGATGAACATGCGCCACTAGTCTTTGACAGGGACATTCGTGGCGTGACAAGCGTAGCACCCTGTGCGTTCACTAGACGGCAGTTAGTGCAGTAAAGGATAGGTGAAGATGACGTACCATCAACAGTGGCATTGCCTTGGTTCTCGACGATAATATTAGTCAGATGTTTGGTAGTGTACGATGACCAGATTAGTGAAAAGCTGTAGGTGATTCTCAGGCTTGGTGAAAAGCCATCGCCCGTAATCTTCTGGCCAGACCATGCCATGTTCTTTGTTAAAATATTGCCACTGATGGTCAAGTCCTGTGTTTGCACATCAAATTTATCCAGGATATTTAGGTTGGAGAAGAAAGAGACTTGTAGTGAAGGATTGCTGCCCTGGGCTCCCAGTACCAGACTGAGAACGGTGACGTTTTCACTACCAGGTATAGTGACACTGTACGATCCAGACAAAGTAATAAACACCACGTCGGTCTTTCTCGGAGCTCTGGCCGGAATCCAGTTATTGCCATCAGTCCATTTCCCCCCGGCAGGATTGTTCCATGTTGCCAGGCCTCCGTCACGATTCAAATCTCGGAACTCAACCTGGCCATTGGTTGTAGTCAGTTTTCCACCAGCAAGTTGCTGGTAGTCGACATACAGAGCAGCAACACCAGGTGTTCCGTCCTTTATGATTTCACCACCGTTAGTCAGTTGAAATATGCTTCCAGTTGCACCATAGGACAAGATGATGATATCGGAGAGAAGACGCAACACTCCATTGGTGTTCAGGGCAAGCGATGAACCATCAGTTGCAAGTAAAAGTCCATTACCTGACATGTCTAATGTGACACTGTTATTTGGTTTGTACGATGACACTGCGTTTGCATAGACTCTTGCTCCGGTCATGGAAGTTCTGTATGCTGACATCTTGCTTGGGGGTATTGGCTGCTTGCTGGTGGTTGGTCCTTCGTAGGAGAGAGTGAACATCATCCCTCTATCTGACCAGTAAGTACTTTGCACAATGTAATCAATATGCACGATGTGTTGGCCTGATATGAGATTTACAGCGCTACTTTTGCGCTCAGTTGGTGGGAACGATGAATAGAATCCTTGCGAGTAAATTTGAGTTCCATCCACATACATTCTTAGCTTGACACTGTATCCCTGAGCGAAATAAAAGTAGTAGCTTCCAGGGGCGTCAATCTGTAGATAAAACCAATATCTGGCAGCATAGTTGTATGTGAAGCTCAGCGCCGATGCACTGTCCCAGGATGGACTGCCAGAGGATGATGACAGAAAGCGCAGCGGAGATGAACCGTAGTATTGAGGCAGATGTTGGATGTTGTCTTCAATCTGAGTAAGAGTAGGGATACTGGATGCATTGTCGTAGCTCACTGGCAACTTGGAAGAGCTGCTGCTGCTCTCAGTTGGGAAATAGTAGATGTTTGAAAGTTGTGGTGTAGTAGGTGTCTGGACTCGATATTGAAAGTACTCTGCAAGGTAGGTGCCAGTCGGAGATATTGGTTGCTGTTGAAGAATGATCTTGGTGCCCTTTAGGATTTTCTGCCTGTCACCGGATAGCTGGCTGTGAGTGGACAGCACCAGGCTGCTACCATTGCCATTGATTGAGCCCTGTGTCCATTGCAACTGACCAAGTACAGTCACAGTGGATTGGGTTACATTCAATGCACCGCTGAGATCCAGGTCTCGGTTGAACGTTATTGTACTGTTAGAACCACACACAACTGATGCTGATGTATGTATCTGTGCTGACTCACGAAACACTAGCTGGCTGTTGGCGCCTATCTTTATCTCACTTGTATCCGTCAAGAGCACCGATCGCAGGAATGTAACATTTGCTTCATCTCCGGCACAAACTCGCAGCTGATACCTACCATAGAAGATTCCCAGCGTAGACTGTGTGTGATCACCAAGCACAATGGTGTTGTTGCTGCTTGAAGACGATTGATACAATCGAGTGCTCGCAGTCATCTCCACAGAGTCGAATTTCCACCAGCTGTTCCGGCTTGATTGGATGTTCGTGTAGATCCCGCCATACACTGTTAACTTACTTGCTTCGATTGACAACTGGTTACTGCAATAATCCATTCCTAGGATTGGCTCAGTACCAGGCAAATAGACAAGCTGTCCGAAAGCATGGTATGATGTGTTGCCCAGTACTTCACTGATATAGCTTCTCCACTGTAAAGCTTTGCGATTACTGAGTGGTGCTGTCGACCTGAATGGCTGACTGTACATTGCTATTGTTCCATTTCCATTGATCACACTTGTATATCTTACTCTGATGCTGGTCCAGTAGGACTCAATGGAGCCAAGATTTACCCACCTGACGTAGTCCAGATAGAAGTTGTTGCGAGTGTTCCAGTACGCAGTCAGTAGAACTAGACGTCCGTGATTCCTTACATCCCAGTAGTTATACACCGATGTAGATGCCGTCATCTCCACAACAAATGTACCATAGTTGATGAGGCCTTGGCGATAGCCATCCACTGGATCAGCAGTTGCCCTGGTGCCCAGAATGCTCCACCTTGCACTCCCGGTTCGGAGAGTTGAGTTCCGCTCATTAACAACAGTGCACTGTTGACAGTAGAAGTATGCGCTTGTGCTGTCCATGGAGGCTGGATCGAACGTCAGGTTTTTCAGGATCGTGACGGTTATGTATTTCAAGTACTTTGAGCTATACGATCCTGCTGCAATGCGCATGTAGTCACTCACAATTACCTTTCCAGAATAGGAGAGTATTCCAGCAATGTCTTTGCCACTCCAGAGGAATGTCTTCACGTTGATCTGTCCATAGACTCTCAGGTCAGGTGACACCACATTTAGTTGCTCGGTGACGTTGAGTACCGTGCCTTGTTCGACAAGAAGTGATACTTGAGCCGTACCAGCACCGACATCCAATGATCGCACCGTCCTGTCAGAGTTCAGTGTAACAGTGTAGGTACCAGATGGAGTTATCAGCGCAGAGTCACTTGCATCGGGCACGCTGCAATTGAAGGAGATGCATAAAATACGAAATAACCACACACACACACACACACACACACACACACACACACACACACACACACACACACACACACACACGCACACATGAATATACAGAAGCATGATCAAAAGAGAACGAGGACATGTTCAAAATACTTAGACGAGCACTCTTGCAACTTGGCATGCCATCCACACCGAGTGAGCAAAATATTCATGGCTTCGCCGCTATCGTACAATAATATTATGGTTTCCACGGATTGGGAAAGATGATCCTAGTTAGAATGTTCACGGGTTGAACTATAGACAGCGGCATACCAGCATAGCCATGTAGCGCCAAGTGCTAAAAAAACAACAACACCCTGTCACGGGTGTCAAACCTTTTTAAAAGTTTTCTATTGATGTGTTCATATTACACTGGTAGTCTGCTCCGTCACTGGTCTGGCGTCGACACAGGTCTAAGCAAAGAGGGCATTCTCGCAACATTGTGTTGTCAAGTTTCACTGAGTACTGCCACATCATTTAGTCTAACCGGTGTCGGCTTGATATCTAGTCTACTGGTAGAGTTACCACGGGCTGTAGCCCTACGCTACACAGCCATAGGATTAGGAGATGTGCGTGTGTGTGTGTGTGTGTGTGTGTGTTGGATGGAGGGGGGGGGGGGGGGTATGTGTGTGGATGCGTGTACCGTATTTTCCGGTATGTTAAGGGGGAAGTTAAGGCAAACATCAAAATTTCACCAGTTGTAGTCTTCGGGGTGCTGAGTCGAATGGTCTTGGTCCGAGAAAGCTGAGACGCTCCCTTCCTACTTGAATCCCAATAATCGAACTCGCGCACTTCCACCGAAACTGGGTGACTGCGCCCTACTAGATGGGGATTTGTATGCAAAATGTCACTAAAACGTAAAAGCGCCATTTCATTCTTATAAAAGCACGGATGACCACGATTGGCCCATATGTTGTAGTCTTTTGGACGCTGAGTCGACTGGTTTTGGTCCGAAAAGGCTGCAATGCAGCGTTCCTCCTTTATTCCCAATCGAACATGGTTGAACAAGCGGTCACGTGCTCCTGCGTACACCAGTCACCTGGTCACCGTGCCTGCAGGGTACAACTTACTAGCCTGTTTGACCTTTTTTGGGTGCAGTCCTCTCAGGCTGTTACTCGAGTTGAACTCGAGTTGAACCTTGGTGTGAAAGTTGTCGCTTGCTGGCGTGGTGACCAGGTGATTTGGGCACCCAGGAGCACGTGCCCGCTTGTTCAACCACGTTCGATTGGGAATAAGGGCCGAACGCTGCATCGCAGGCTTTTTGGACCAAAACCAGTCGACTCAGCGTCCAAAAGACTACAACATATGGGCCAATTGCGGTCATCCATGCTTTTATAAGAACGAAATGGCGCTTTTAGTGACATTATGCATACAAATCCCCATCTAGTAGGGCACAGTCACCCAGTTTCGGTGGAAGTGCGCGAGTTCGATTGGGATTCAAGTTGGGATTCGACTCAGCACCCCGAAGACTACAACTGGTGAAATTTTGATTTTTGCTTTAACTTCCCCTTTAAGGGGAAGTATACCCTAAAATCAAATTTTCACCAGTTGTAGTCTTCGGGGTGCTGAGTCGAATGGTCTTGGTCCGAGGAAGCTGAGACGCTCCCTTCCTCCTTTATTCCCAATCGAACTCGTGCACTTCCACCGAAACTGGGTGACTGCGCCCTACTATAGGGATTTGTATGGAAAAAGTCACTAAAAACGCCGTTTCGTTCTTATAAAAGCACGGATGACCGCAATTGGTCCATATATTGTAGTCTTTTGGCCACTGAGTCCACTGGTTTTGGTCCCAAAAGGCTGCGATGCAGCGTTCGGCCCTTATTCCCAATCGAACATGGTTGAGTAAGCGGTCACGTGATCATGCGTACACCAGTCGCCTGGTCACCATGCAGGCTACAATTTTCACACCAAGGTTCAACTCAAAGGTTCAAACTAGGGAGTCGTAAGATGCTTTTACGACTCACTGGTTCAAAGGTTCAACTCGAGTGACAGGAACGGGCCCAACCACTGAGGCTGTAAATTGTAGTCTGAGTCTGAGTCTGGTATACTGTGCATTGTAGCTACCATCCAAGAAGACAAAAAGAAGTCGAAATGAAGGGTCGGCTAGTGCACAACCCAGAGTTCACAATGCCTAGCGCTATAAAGTGTCCGGCTCACTAGCTTAAATTTTATGAGGCTGCCCTTGACCAGGTAAATCTGTAACTTCTAGCCCCAAAATGCAAGCATGCTGACTTACCCTGATGGGTTCCAGTTACTGGCATCCTCCCAGTTTCCTGTCGTTGCTGATTTCCAGTAATAATCCACGCCATGGCATTGGCTGACGAACACCAGGAGGAGAACTAGTAGAATAGTCAGGTCATGCTTCCACATTTTCCGCTCGCTCCCTGGGTTTTGCAACATAGCACAAAATCGCACCACTTACATTCGTACAACCATGATGTCTACACAGCGAACCTGCACTGCTGGGCCAGGATAACTTTTAAAATGGATAGCATGCAGCTTGTTTTAAAATGGATAGCATGCAGCTTGTTTTGCAGTACATGTTCATATAGACATTCAATATACATCATGCTCTCACACACACGCACGCACGCACACGGATTGGAGCGTCATCCAGCCACCTCAGCCGACTGGACCGAGTCCAGCACAGGGCCCTCGGAATCATCGGTCCGGGAGCAATCCTGCCTAGTCTGGCAATCAGACGGACAGTAGCTTCCCTAGCTTGTTTATACAAGCTACAAGTAATTACGGGCCCACCTCAACTTCTCGCGGTTCTGCCAGCTCACCGTCAGCAGTCGGCCAACCCGCGAACCCGGAGCGACCATGCCAGCGCTGCTGGCCACCGGTTTCAACTGGACGCCAGCCTGCCAGCCTCTACCCCGTTAGTCCTGAAGCGATCATTTCCCCACTGTGTGCTCCACCAGTGGAATGCATTGCCCTGTGATCTGCTCCTGCATCCTCCCCATCGCAGCCGAATGCAGGCATTCAAGACGCAGGTATACCGCTACCTGCGTGCCGAGAACTGGATGTGGGCTACTGACTCAGTCTAATCGCACCTATCTAGTATCTACATGTAGGTATTGCTCTCTTTTTCTTGTTTTCTTTACTTTCTGTCTCTCTGTCTCTGTCTCTGTCTCTGTCTCTGTCTCTGTCTCTCTCTGTCTCTCTCTGTCTCTCTCTGTCTCTCTCTGTCTCTCTCTGTCTCTCTCTGTCTCTCTCTGTCTCTCTCTGTCTCTCTCTGTCTCTCTCTGTCTCTCTCTCTCTCTCTCTCTCTCTCTCTCTCTCTCTCTCTCTCTCTCTCTCTCTCCACACCATACTTTTCGCTATAATTTTTTCAATCTTTTTCTGTTTCTCTTCTTCTCCCGATTTTCTGATGCGTGAAGTAGGCGCGGATGCCGAGACCATTGGTCGGCGGAGCCTGCAGCACCCCATCACCACCGCTGCGTTGCATTTGCAGCCCCATTCAGTCAATGTCTTGTTAGTCTGTTATTTTGTCATTTCCTGCTTCTTTCTTCTTTTACGAATTGGGTGCGTGGTTTCAAGTAAAAAAAACAAAAAAACAAAATACACACACACACACACACACACACACACACACACACACACACACACACGCGCGCACACACACACTCAGACTCAGACTCAGACATGCCCATCGCTGAAGCGATGATAGCGGACCGCTATGTTCGATATAGCAACTTGTGCTGGGATTACACCACTCAACAGCTTGCAAGGCTGATGAATTGACCGCCACTAATTTTAGCCTGGTATCCACCACACAGCTGGTGGAAGTGGCTTTTTCTGGCCAGTAAATCCTTTTTTTTTCAATTTTCATTTTTTTCATTCATTTTTTGACACACACACACCACACAACATACTCCGGCATACACTGGCTGTTGGTAACCACCCAGGAGAATGAAAGAAGAGCTAGGAGAATGAGAAAGAGAAGAAAGACGTGTGCGACCATAATCGTCGGGAACACACGCACGCACACACACACACACACACACACACACACACACACACACACACACACACACACACACACACACACACACACACACACACATAGACATTCTTAGTTTAAAAGGCAGACTCAGTACACACAGCACAATCAACGGACATAATATATTCCATTTTACATTGCCCGGTGTAGCTGCTTAAAATGAATATTAAAATCAAGTTGTTGTCGTTCCATTACCTATACATGTAAAGATGACATTGTTCATGGCAAGCAACAGTTATGGGATTTCAGGCAGTGCATGCTAACCTGCAGGCTTACTTGTGCAGGGCATTCTACCCTGACGCGCTGTGTTGACCATAGCACAACACATGCACCACGTCAGTGACCTATGGAGTCACCTGTGCAGTCACCTGTGCACCTATGCAGTCACCTGTGCAGTCACCTGTGCAGTCACCTGTGCAGTCACCTGTGCAGTCCCCTGTGCAGTCCCCTGTGCTTGATATGATTCTCCAATGGACAGGCACTGAAAGCAAACAAGCAATACATGCACAGCAATCATAATGGATATTTGATTTCTACATGTCAATAAGATGTGTTGTGCTATTACAGGGGCGTCGGAAGGTATTTTAGTGTGGTACGGTCAGCCATCTGAAGTACAATTTGCTCGTGGAGGAGGGGTGGTTCAGCAGAAAAAGTTTGGAAAATTAGATCCCAGATCAGTGTATTTTATTGATTCACAGGGTACCTGGGGGCAAAAAGTGGTACGGTCAATCCCGTAGTGACCGTACCGTGTCCGACGCCCCAACACACACACACACACACACACACACACACACGCACACACGCACACACACACACACACACACACTCCAACGAAGTCCAGTTTGAGTTAGCCAGAACATGTTTTGTCACTATCTTCAGTGGTTGCCGTAACTCTTATTTTTATCACCTGCATAGTTATTGTTCCATTGTTCCATTGTTCCATTGTTCCCCGTTGTTCCATTGTTCCATTGTTCCATTGTTCCCCGTTGTTCCATTGTTCCATTGTTCCATTGTTCCCCGTTGTTCCATTGTTCCATTGTTCCATTGTTCCATTGTTCCGTTTTTCCATTGTTTCTCGTGGTATGAGTGTGCTCACTTTACTTTCATCAATATTGGGTTTCTTGTCTCCACGCCCACTTTTAAACATAGTTATTCTATCACACTATAGTTATTGTTCTTAGTTGCTCACAGTACTGCATCAATATTCACATATTGCTCTTCATTCTTTGTTCAATCCCTTGAGTGACAACAACCACTGGATATAGTGAAAATGTTCCGGTCAGCTTTATACTGGATTTCATTGGAATGTGTGTCTGTGTGTGTGTATATGTGTGTGTGCATGTGTGTGTGTGTGTGTGTGTGTGTGTGTGTGTGTGTGTGTGTGTGTGTGTGTGTGTGTGTGTGTGTGTGTGTGTGTGTGTGTGTGTGCGTTAGAATGACAGCATAACTCATCTTACTGACTGGTGTAATTTTAAATAATCTCCACACCGTTTCTTTAAAACCAATTGGTCCCAGAGACCGTGCGTTATAAAGAGTGTTACTGAGAACGTTATAAAGAGTGTTACTGAGAACGTTATAAAGAGTGTTACTGAGAACGTTTTGAGGATGTATGGATAGTGATGCTGGCTGAGGATGATGAACACAATGTGCACACAACCCTGGTTACACACTGCTTTTCAGCAGCAGAGAGGACTGCATTGATATACTTCACAGCACAACTAGCAGAGAGGACCGCATTGATATACTTCACAGCACAACTAGCAGAGAGGACCGCATTGATATAACAGTTACTTCACAGCACAACTAGCAGAGAGGACCGCATTGATATACTTCACAGCACAGCTAGCAGAGAGGACCGCATTGATATACTTCACAGCACAACTAGCAGAGAGGACCGCATTGATATACTTCACAGCACAACTAGCAGAGAGGACCGCATTGATATACTTCACAGCACAACTAGCAGAGAGGACTGCATTGATATACTTCACAGCACAACTAGCAGAGAGGACTGCATTGATATACTTCACAGCACAACTAGCAGAGAGGACCGCATTGATATACTTCACAGCACAACTAGCAGAGAGGACCGCATTGATATACTTCACAGCACAACTAGCAGAGAGGACTGCATTGATATACTTCACAGCACAACTAGCAGAGAGGACTGCATTGATATACTTCACAGCACAACTAGCAGAGAGGACCGCATTGATATACTTCACAGCACAACTAGCAGAGAGGACCGCATTGATATACTTCACAGCACAACTAGCAGAGAGGACCGCATTGATATACTTCACAGCACAACTAGCAGAGAGGACCGCATTGATATACTTCACAGCACAACTAGCAGAGAGGACTGCATTGATATACTTCACAGCACAACTAGCAGAGAGGACCGCATTGATATACTTCACAGCACAACTAGCAGAGAGGACCGCATTGATATACTTCACAGCACAACTAGCAGAGAGGACCGCATTGATATACTTCACAGCACAACTAGCAGAGAGGACCGCATTGATATACTTCACAGCACAACTAGCAGAGAGGACCGCATTGATATACTTCACAGCACAACTAGCAGAGAGGACCGCATTGATATACTTCACAGCACAACTAGACTCCAGGGAATGGCCCAGATCTCAGAACTTATTCATGAAGGTAGTGGAAAGATCTCCTACATTGGCACCACTCAGCACCCGCTACTAAAATATAGATTGCCTAAATTCAAACTGCTCACTGAGCAAGAATGTTGACTTGCACTGCATATACATGTAGGTCCCATTCCACAGGCAATGGTTCGTTGTGTGACGTTGTGCACTAGGTGTGAGAGTAGCACAGGGGGACTATAGAGACCTTTCACACTTTCATACAAGTACGAGACGAGCATGAGGTTTGACGATTCATATGAACTCTACAAAAGGCATTGTTTGTAAATCAATGCACATAATCTCTCTCTCTCTCTCTCTCTCTCTCTCTCTCTCTCTCTCTCTCTCTCTCTCTCTCTCTCTCTCTCTCTCTCTCTCTCTCTCTCTTTCAGCTGATCCGAGAGGACAACAGCCTAGTATGTTCCAATGGGAACATGTAAAAAAAAGAGTAAATTATCGTGTCCGTTCCCGAAGGGAACTCACGACGGCCACTAAAACCCGGTAAACCCTAGCGGCAACATGTGGTGCACACAAAACTATGAGTGTATACGATGTGCCACCGTCTGTACATTTCACTGAACACTAGCATGCGGCAGTGCCTAGCAAGTGTGGAGCTTGGGTTGAAGTACCTTACAAATAGTGCTCAATGCAACCATCACACGTCTCATGTACATCCTAATCTCTCTATTCTGCACCCAGTCCAGTAGGATCAATTACGTCCTGCATTCATTTACCTCACTCGTTCTCTTTCCTCGCCGAATTTCGAAATCTGAAAAGGATGTTGAACGGTCTCTGCTGGGATGACAGCTACACCACAGCTCAGTCGTTAGAGCCGCTGATTGCTGGACTAAAGCAAAGGCCCTGGCTCAGGTCCTGGTGGTGACAGTTGATTTTTCTTCAGACCTTTCTCTTTTCGACACCTTCAACTAATGAATAACTCCTACTTCTTTCTCTTTTGTTTTAGTACTGGCTTACATGTACACCCTCCTCCCCTCCCCTACCCCTCTGTGCCTGTGCAGCTTTACACCTTCGCCTAGTGTGAGGAAACCCCTGATCAAAGAATATCCTTGAAATGATCACGAACCTTGTTGCCTAGTTCTGTATCTGCCCGCTTCTCACCTTGAATTGTATCGCTGCGTATGTCTCAAATCCTTCATTCGAGGCGATATCCACCGGCGCACAGCTACTACTAGTGCAGCAACATTGTCAGCACCTACTCTACTCTCTAGGATATCCCGGAATAGTATCAACTATCAACCCACTACACATGGGCGATGCAATAGCGCAACGTGCGAATGAGACTTCCCTCTTTCGTCCTGGCCTGGCCACGGAGTGATGTAAGATTTTTCTCGGAGGCGGCAAGAGCGACATCGCCGAAATCCTGATGTTCCACCGTTGACCAAGGTTGACAAGCACGTGAGAAAAGTGTAGTGCTAAAATGGGTGCGCCTGGCTATGCTTCGAGGTGGGTTGGCTAACTTTGACTGAAGCGTAGGCCTATCTGTCGCCCCGCCTGACAATTTGTTTCTCCAAACTCGGTGCCACTTTGAAGGCGGACTGCACAGCGACGCGACCTTCGTTCATAGTTGACAGTTTGACGTCATCACCTCACACCACGATGACTTGCCAAGTATTAGTTGAGTCCTGAACTGAAGCGCTTCGGTGTCAATGGATATGGTATCTACTGATCTACTTTCTGAAGTCTGCAGCTTCGAGCCTCCCAATAGTTATTAGTTGGGTGGTCTCTTGCTTCGTGTTGTCGAGAGCTGCCGAGGGACATACATGTACATGTACGTGTAGCTGGTGGACATCTTCGTTGCGCTTCCCTTCACCTCATTGGAACTTTCCGCACCTGAGCCTTCCAAGTTGGAAGGGTTGTTGCCAATGTTGGTTTGCGATGTGTTGGAGCTACAAGTACATGTAGGTGTCAAGTCGTTGTCTGTTAGTCATAGCTCGTAGCATATTTTTGGTCCTTTCTCTTATACATGACTGTACCTGAATACAGGGGGAAGAGGTCCCGTCCACCGCAAAGAGGGCTCAACAGCGCTGGGGTGCACTGGAGCTAGTACACAATGGAAGCGTCCTCACCAAGAAAACACAATCCGTTGCTACTCCGTGTATATCTTTAGTGGACCTGACAGCCCTGCTTTAGTTAGAAAAGTTGCCTGACGATCGAAAAACTCAAGAAACTCGGAGTAGCAACGGATTGTGTTTTCTTGGTGAGGACCGCTTCCATTGTGTGTTTTCTTGGTGAGGAGGACCGCTTCCATTGTGTGTTTCTTGGTGAGGACCGCTTCCATTGTGTGTTTCTTGGTGAGGACCGAGGACCGCTTCCATTGTGTGTTTCTTGGTGAGGACCGAGGACCGCTTCCATTGTGTACCTGAATACTATAGTATTGGCTCACCATCCGAACTTTTCAAAAAGCTTCATGAAACGTTTCAAAGGCGCAAAATGTTTCCACTTGGATCCTCTCTCTTCCATGTGGAAATGCTCTGCGCCTTGCACATCGGGCACTCTTCAGGCAATTTGCCAAACTATTTCTACCTACATGTACATGTATTTCGAAAGAAGTGTCAGCACCGACGCAATCCGTACAGTCAAGTAAAGCTAATTTTGTAATCGAACGTTTTCGTTCCCTTCTCATCATGGGTAAGTACAGGGAACAATGGACAAATATCAAATACAGCAACTTATACTTATAGAGCTAAAGCAAAAGTATACAATGTGCATGTACATGTAGATCAAAACCTCATACAAGTACTACATGACGATACATGTACGTGTGAAATACATTGGCTTTGCTTGACTGTGTGGATTGCGTCGGTGTGGGATATACGCCTCCAATCACCAATGTTTCTCTACCTACATGTACGTTGCCTGATGATCGTAGTAATACTAGTACGTGAAACTCAGAGTTGTGACAAAGCTTCCAATCTCTCTTGTATACATGACACGTGATTACATGTACATGTACATTGTAATTTGTATGCACATGGAATGAGTTGCACATGCCCTCCACCATTCTGGATGTGCACTGTGCGTATTGTAGCATACCTACAATGGCTACATTGTACCTGTACATGATTCCTACATGATTGTATTGTGTTGGGGAATGATGACAGGAGGTTTACCACTACCAGACTCCAGTCCAGTGACAGCACAAAGCCTCAAAGGGCAGGATACCCATACAAACAAACAAAAAAGAAAAGGCGGATACCCATACATGTACTGATGTAGCATGATGTACGCGCGACTGACATGCCAAGAGGATCGTGTGAGGGTGACTGTCAATCATAACAACAATAATTACATGTGTCCAATGTACAGTGCTAGTGTACATGTAAGACTTACATTGCACTACTATAGGCAGTTGGTACATGACTGGAGTACTGTGACTCTGTGACTGTATCATCACTCAGACATCATTGCAAACTGCATACGTCAATGTACAATAATGGAGGGAATGTTCCTTCTGGCTTTAGCCAGCGGAGAGGGTTCAACACAAGACCACGGCGCGTGAGCTGTCGCCGTCACTCTCCCGACTTTTCAATGAGTCATTTCGGAGAGGTGAACAACCACAGGACTGGCGTGATGCCACCGTGAGCCCATTATACAAGAAAGCCGAACGATGATTGATAACAAACTACAGGCCCATATCAAATCTCAGGGTTATCATATCAGTAAAGTGCAGGAGCAGATCGGCCACCAGAGACTCTACAAGCACGTCACACCCTTCCCCCCAGTGGACCAATCCCTTTTCGTGCCAATGATAGCACCGAACTCCAGCTCGCCAGATTCGTGCACGAGGTTTCCGAGAGCCGAGATAAAGGTCTTTCCGTCACAGCTTGCTTTTTTGATCTCTCGTTTCGAAAGCTTTCGACAGAGTCTGGCACGCCGGTCTCCTCAAGAAGCTGCAACACCTCGGCCGGCCTGAAGGATACAGCCCTGCAATGGCTGGTCAACTACCTCACCCATCGCCGTTACGCGTGTTCGTGTCGGCGACGCCTTCAGTGAGTGGCAAGCCATACCAGCAGGGGTGCCCCAAGAATGCGTTCTAGGCCCCCTGCTGTTCTTGATATACACCTGCCCTCTGCCTGCACCATCTCGACACAAAGTGCAGCCAATTTGCAGATGACACGTAGGCACGGCGGATTATGCCGGCATAATTATTGGCATAATTTGGTGGTTGAAAATTTGGAGCATAATTTGGCATCCTTTCGGAGGTAGGAGCATAACTGCACGATTGTATCACAGTTCTAGTATGTAGGCGACACACTTATGTACAATGCACCTGATCAGTGCTGGTGGTCCGCATGGTAAAGGGTTCGGAGGTCATGCAGATAGTGCTTTCAATGAAAAGCAGGGTAGAAATTGTAGCGGGCCGCAGTCTCTCTCTCTCTGAGGCAAATGCAGACGGGTCTCAGTGAACACACTGCTTTAAAATTATTACTGAACTATTAAACGGAAGACTACATTGTAAACATTAACTCTGACTCTAACTCTAAAACTGACATAAAGAAGGTTCTAACTGGTATCTCTAACTGGCCTTTCTAACTGGCCTTTCTAACTGTAGTTTCTAACTGGCGTATAGAGAATTGTGAACAGCAGCTTTTATAGGCAGACAGCATACGTGCTGCAATAGCAATGGTCACGGCAAAGCTCAGCAGAGAGAAGAAGAAAGGTCAAAGTACATGTGTGGGCTACAGTCATTACACAAGGAATGCCATTTGATTCTATGCAGAAGAAGGAGCTGAATAGCAGTGTGGGCAATGGGTGTAAAGAGGTGGTTGAAAGTGCAGCAAAAGGTCTAGACTAATATTTCTGAGGTCAATATGAAACATTGAACGCAGTGAGACTAGTTACTATCCATGTCATGGATCTGCAAGCACGGTACAGAGTTGCAAGTGCGGGGTACGGGTGCGGTGTAACACGTGTGACCAATACATTGAAAGGGATTCACGCTGCAGCTGTGTGATCACCAGCGTGCCTACGCTACAGAAATCATGGCAATACATTTTTTTGTGCTCGAACTCGTCTTCTTCAAAGTTCTTTCTCACCCTGATACAGTACATGTAGCAAAAGATGCCAGTAAATCAGCCTTTATCACTGGTATCCCCGGGGCTGACGAGATAGTAGGGACCTTTCGCACCCCGCGTACGGATACGAAACGAATGCTGATTCGTCACCTGGGTTCGAGGATTCGTCAGAGTCCCTGCGGAGTAGGCCTAGCCCAAATTTGCTCGGGGCGCTTCGATATTTTGCCGGCAAATGTTGCCCTAGCACTTTCCATATTTTGCTTGGCATTGCCTTTCGTTTCCGATATTTTGCTCCATTTTGCTCCTGCTTTGTGGCAAAAATGGCTTCGAATGAACCGTCTACTTTGGTAAAAGTGGATGGTGACTCTAATGAGGAAAGCAAAACTTATAATGGTGTCAGTATTCCGGATTTTGTAGCATGATTATTTTCAAATTTATGTACCCTTGACAACCTGCACGAGCTACTTCAGCACTATACGTTGGCCCAATGAAACCAAAGAAATTTGAATAAAATTGCTTTTTCTCGTATGGTCCATGTATGTAACTACTGGTACTTGTTTTTATTGTTAAAAAATTAAAATTGCCAAAACACACCCGGATCCTCTGTAAATTCGATATTTTGCTCGGAATTTGCCAGCAATTTCTTTTCGTGGGAAATTTCGATATTTTGCTGGAAGAATTGCCGGCAAATTTGGGCTAGGCCTACTGCGGAGAACTCGTTTTCACGAATGGAAGCCTCTTCATTCGTGGCACGCTCCGAATCCGTCAGGTACACGTATACACATTTATTTGGATAGGTACACATGTTTTGCAAGGTACACATTTTTCCCTTGATTCCATGATCCATGCACGTGTGCGTGTAAAAACCCGTACGCCAAACTACCGGCGCCCGCGGCCGTATTCGTAGTTGCCATGCACATTTGCATGACGACTCGCGAAACCTGAAATCTGTTTTCAACGAAACGATTACGAGCCGAATCAAACTTTCGTTTCGCATTCGTTTCGTAGCAAATGCGAAAGGTACCGAGTGACGGGTAGTCCGCAAACTCCGCGTACATGTACACTATGCTTGTTACGAAGTCATGACGTCTGGATCTTAGCAGCTATGACTGTGCATGCTATGTATATTGCTCTAATAATTAAAGGGGCACTCCGGCTTCATTTTCGACGCCGAGTTTTCGATGCCAAGACGAAGGTAGGTGAAAGAGAAGACCCCTCGAACAAGAACGAGTCTCCAGAAGCGATCGAGTCGAGCAGGAAGACGACTTTTGAATTTCGGCCGAGCGAGCGCTGATGACGTAATGAGGGATTAGCT